TTGTAGAGTCTCATCAGCTCTTTGTAGATTTTTGTGAACAGTCCTTTATCATTAGTGTTGTGTGCAAAAATTTTCTCCCAATCAGTGGGGTGTCTCTTTGTTTTGGTTACTGTCTCTTTTGCTGTACAGAAGCTCTTTGATTTGATGTAGTTCCAGCTGTTTATCTTTGTCTTCACTATCACTGCTTTGGGTGATGTGTCTTTAAAGATGTTACTGAGGTGTATGTCATGTAGTGTTTCGCCTATATTTCTTTCTATATATTTTATGGTTTCAGGTCTTATTCCTAGTTCTTTAATCCATTTTGCGTTGGTTTTTGTGCATGGTGTGAGGTAGTAGTCAAACTTCATTCTTTTGCATGTAATGACCTACTTTTCCCAGCACCATTAACTGAACAAACTTTCTTTGCTCCATTGCATATTCTTTGCTCCTTTGTCAAAGATTAGTTGACCATAAATCTGTGGGTTTATTTCTGGATTTTCCATTTCGTTCCATTTGTCTGTATGTCTGTTCTTATTACAATACCATGCAGTTTTGATTATTATGGCTTTGTAATGTAGTTTAATCTCTGGGCATGTGATACCACTATTCCCTTCTTTTTTTTTCAGGAGTGCTTTGGCTAATCAGAGTTTTTGGTGGCTTCGCAGGAATTTCATTAATATTTGTTCTATTTCTTTGAAGAATATCTTTGAAATTTTTATTGGAATAGCATTGAATCTGTAAATTGCTTTTGGTAGGATGGCCATTTTGATAATGTTAATTCTTCCAATCCATGAGCAGGGGATGTCTTTCCATTTCTTTGTGCCTTCTTCTATTTATTTTAAGAGTGTTTTATAGTTTTCTTTGTATAGGTCCTTTACCTCTTTTGTTTGGTTTATTCCTAAATGTTTGATTTTTTTGTTTTAGTAATAAAAGGGATGGTTTTATTGATTTCTTCTTCTTCAGATTTATTGTTTGTGTATAGGAAGGCTACTGATTTTTGTGTGTTGATTTTGAACCCTGCTACTTTGCTAAACTGATTAGTTTGATTAGTTTTTCTGTGGAGTTTTTTGGGGTACTGTATGTATATTATCATATCATCTGCGAATAGTGATAGTTTTACTTCTTCCTTCCCTATTTGGATTCCTTGTATGTCTTTCTCTTGTCTTATTGCTCTGGCTAGGACTTCTAGTATTATAGTGAAAAGCAGTGGTGAGAGTGGACATCCTTGACTTATTCCCAATCTTAATGGGAATGCTTTCAACTTATCACCATTGAGAATGATATTGGCTATGGGCTTGACAAATATAGTTTTTATGATGTTGAGGTATGTTCCTTGTATCCCAAGAATTTCAAGGGTCTTTATCATAAATGGGTGTTGTACTTTGTTGAAAGCTCTTTCAGCATCTATTGATATTATCATATGGTTTTTATATTCCTTTTTGTTGATGTTTGGATTACATTGATTGATTTTCGGATGTTGAACCATCCTTGTGTCTTTGGAATAAATCCTACTTGGTCCTGGTAAATAATCTTGTGGATACATTGTTGGATTCTGTTAACTAAAATTTTATTAGGATTTTTGCATCAGCATTCATTAGAGAGATTGGCCTGAAGTTTTCTTTTTTTGTGTTGTTCTTGTTTAATTTTGGTATTAATGTGATGTTGGCTTTATAGAACATGTTTGGTATTATCCCATCCTTCTCAATTTTTTGAAAGAGTTTGTGAAGCATAGGTGCTAGTTCATTTCTGAATGTTTGGTATAATTATAATTTGTAAATCCATCTGGTCCTGGGCTTTTGTTTTTGGGGAGGATTTAGATTACCATTTCAATTTCACTGTTTGTAATTGGACTATTTAGGTGTTTTATTTCTTATTTATCTAGCTTTGGGTTATTGTAAAGTTGTAGGAATTAGTCCATCTCTTCTAGATTGTTGAACTTGTTTGCATATAACTTTTCATAGTAGTTTCTGATTATTCTTTTGATTTCTACTGTGTCTGTTGTGATTTCTCCTCTTTTGTTTGTGATCCTATTTATTTGTGCTTTCTCCCATTTTTCCTTTGTGAGCCTGGCTAGGGGTTTGTCTATTTTATTTATTTTTTTGAAGAATCAACTTTTGGTTTCATTGATCTTTTGGATTTTTTTTTTTTAGTTTCTATTGCATTTATTTCTGCTTTGATTTTTATTATTTCCTTTATTCTACTGGTTTTAGGTTTTTTTGTTTTTCTAGTTCTTTGAGCTGTGAGATTAGGTTGTTTCTTTGAGTGCTTTCTTGTTTCTTGATGTGAGCCTCTATTGCTATATATATTACTGCTTTTGCTGTATCCCATACATTTAGGAAATTGGTATCCTTCTTGTTGTTCAACTCAAACTATTTTTTAAATTTCTTTGATCTCTTCGTTAGTCCAGTTCAAACCATCCAATCTTAAGCCTACTTATGTTGCCATGCTTGTTCCTTTCCACAGAAACCAGAAAACAGTCTGGTTATATTGTTCATGTATTCGTTTAGCGACAACTGCCTGCTGATTGACCCTGTTGCTTCCCCACATAGCCCTGAATGGTATACCTTGCTCTCTCCTTTTGGGAACTGTACACACTATCTTTGCAATGGCAATCATCTCCTGATCTGTTGGCCTCAACACAGGTGAATATTAAAACCTACATTTTAAAATGATTATATCATGTACTTCTTTAATCGCAAGTATGATTCCCATGCCAATACTTTTAAAGATCCTGAAGGAGACTGGAGGGCATTATGTTAAGTGAAGTAAGCCAGAGAGAGAAAGACAAATACCATATTATTTCTCTCTTGTGTAGAAACAAATCAAATTAATTGACAAAATTAAATCAAAACAAAGCCTAGAAATATGATTCAAGAATTGAGGCTACTAGAGGGGAAGGGCAGGAGAAACAAAAGGGAAAAAGTCCCAATGGTATATGGCAAAGGAGTATGGGTACTCTCAAGGTAGATGTGGTGATGTATATTTGAGGAAGTGCTAACCTATCCCCTGAATTACATACAGTGTTGTAAATCAATGTCACCTAAAAAGCAAATCCTAAACGAAACCCTTCCTTTCCCATAAGTTAAACAGTTGAAGAATAAACTATTACCCAGGAAAGCTAGTATAGTATTAGATTAAAAAATAAAAATGATAGATTTTGTACCCTAGGATCTCAAAAAATCCTATGTATTATTTTATTATCCTCAATGAACTGAAGTTCCAAGACAGAAAGTAGTTTTCTCAAGATCACAAAGCCATATCCACAGAAGAGATTAGACTCCAACACAAACTTTCCTGGCCTTCCTCTGACTCATACTCTACTCCCACTCCTTCCTTCTAACATGAAGTCTTCCAGATCTGAGTTGATATCTTTGACAAAATTCTCTTGCATAATATCACCACTTCCTTCGTATTTTAAAGAAAAATTATTCCACAATGTAGTCAGCCAGTACCAGTGAATGATTCCACAAAGGATAAATAGCTGAGATGTATCTCAATATACAATAATAACATAGCTTGGGGGGAATGAATGTAGAGTCTTAAGAAGATATTACTCAAGGATGGAGAAGAGCTAGAAATTAAGGATATTTATAATATTAATTATGATCTTTAGTGAATGAATTAGAACCTATACACATCTGTTTTCTTTTTCCTGAAGAATTTCCATTCTTTGGTCCAGAGTCCTCTTAACTATGAAGAACAGAAATGACTGTGAGGAAGTCAGGCAAAATATCTTGCAGTTTTAGAGAACTGTAAATGGAGAAGGAATAACTCAGTGCCATAAAGACAAAAGTAAGCATACAAAAAGCAATCTATAATAAAATTGCTATTGAATGTCATTCAGCAGCAAAATACACTGTAAGATCTGTGTATTCAATGTTGACCATAGTCATTGGGAGGATATTTTGAGTAAAATTAACCCAATACTGATCAAAATGTCTCTCATAGGAACTTATCCATTACTTAATTCAGTAGTGGGTTTGGAGTCCCACTATTTCAAGTAAGAAAGAGGGAAAGTTGGGAAAGAGGGAAGAGAGAAAAATAAAGTGAGTCAAACAACTTATGAAAAAATGGTGGAAGAGTTGGATTGTGAGTATGGAGAAAAACCGACTGGAATGAGGGGCTTATGCACAACCAGCAGGGAGTGGAAGGTGACATTTGGAGATGGTAATTGGCAGCTGTTATGGCTTTCTGTGGATTGTAGGTAAAGAGGAACCAGCTTGTGTGACTGGAGGACCTCAGCTGGACATCAGGAAGAATTTCCTGACCGTGAACTTTGGTTTACAGGATCAAAGAGAGGCTTCTGGGATGTGCCTATCCTAGGAATATTTTTCAGCCTCAAGTGAAAGCTGTTTGGGTGGTTTTCGGCAGCCCTGGGGATAGATGGATGGCTTCCTCCAAATTCCATTGGTCTCATGTTGCTTAGAGGAGTGCCCACACTGCTGCCTTTCACAAGGTCCTAGCCAGCAGCTGGGAGGCTGCTCAGAAGCTATGGAGTTTTCCCCACAGAAAGGAACAACTAAGTCTTTCACTCTCTGTGCCTCACTTGGACCAATCCTTAGGTGTGCACTGTGGTTTTTCAGCTCTTCAGCACTTAGGTACTTTCTTTTTGAGCCAAGAGCCTCGTGGGAACAATGTAGCATCTGTGTATTGACAGGAACAGCCTGTGAGCAAGAGACACTCAGCCAAACTCCACTTCATTGCCCACCTCACCTGCAATAATGCATGCTGAGTCAGCCCAGGCCTCCCTTCCCCAGTGCAAAGTGCCCCCTGCTCATACCCATTCCCCAAGCTTTCATCTAATTTGATTCCTAGCTGCTTTGCCACATTTTTTACCCATCCTCATGAAGAATAGTCTCTACCCACCTCCCTGCCCACCCACAGAGTGAACAATAACATATGAGTGGCTCATAGCCTGATACTGAACAGTGGGCACTGAAGGCTGAGGTTCATACTGCTTAGTTGGGCACCTAGGTATTTACAAAAGGTTAGGCTTGCAAAGAGATGCCAGTCTTTTCCTATAACATGATTGCCTTTTATTTGTTCTGTGGGTTGTTCATTTACATGGGGAATTAGGAACGTTAAACAAACAGAGTCTGTAAATGGCCTGATTCTACTAAGACCAGAGGTTTAGAAACATTACTTAAATTCTGGTAAAAAGGCAGTTCTAGAAAAATGTTTAAAACCATCCTTTTATTTTTGATACCGAGTTAGAGAGGGACACATGCTTGTGAGAAAAGTAAAGTTTCAACTTACAGGTTACTTGAAAGAGCAGAAACTATGTTGCGTGTAAGTCATATGTCGTGTACAAATTCAATATTAAATGACAAATCAGCACAATCTCTCCCTAGGAATGTCGCTTCTTCACAGAGCAGCACAGTATTTCTCTGAAATCTTCCATCCACTGGAATACTTTATATTATATTATAGTGTATGGCCACATAGTGTAGATGCATGAGAGACCATTGGATGAATAGTGAGACCATGTAGGCATTTTAAAAGAAAGGATGAGGACAGTGATTGAGATTTTAATGACAAAGAAAGCGTGTGTGTGCACACGTTTGTGGAAACCTGATGATCCTGTCGTTTAGTGTCTCTGAGGTTTGAATTGTTTCTTTTTATTCAGCATATTGTAGACAATGGTTAATAGGCAGAAGTATCAGGGAAAAAATCAGAGTTCCACTTTTGGAGTCTTTTCCTTTGCATCATGATTTTCTCTCTGAAAAACATTATGATATTGATATTTAGATTTGGGCTCACTCTTTTTTTTGAATTTTGAGATTAGTCACTTGAACTATCTGATTACTCTTGAAGGTCCTTAAATCTATCTTCAGTTTTTATCTCATGAACTCTTTATGTATATTTGATTTGTCTTCCATTGATATTATGCACATATTAGCTAAATCCCAAATTCAGGTCCTTTGAATAAGCAAAATCTTTCCAAATGCTTCTGGAGTTCTGTTTCCACAGATGAGACTTATTAACATAATTCTGACCCTGGCCACTATATCCTCATCCACCCTTGCTTGCTCTTACTCAAATCTAATGGAGTCCAAAGGCTTTTTATCTAACAGGAAATAAAAGAGACATAGAGAGGAAGCCAACTTGCCTTACCTGTGTTCTCACACTTACCAACAATTTTCCTGCCAGGAATCCATCACAAAAGTTTTGCACCTGTTCTACTGAAACTTCTTCAACAGACAGTGTATCCCGTTCTTCATCAACAGTGCGGTAAATTGCCAAAGCAGGCAGTTGAGATTCCTTTAGTTTGAAATATGATATCACTTTCTTATTTTCCTTCACACCACTGTCCACCAACACAAAAAGAATCTGCAGTTGGGGAAATTTAAAAGAGAAATATCTATCTGAAGTCCTGTGGTCCTGGAGATAGTAAGATACCCTGTAATTGTTACAGTTTACAATGACTGAATATATGGTCTGTGCTACACAATTTAAACCTCAATCCAGTTAAACCGCATTTCTTTGGTATTTTGCCCCTTTGATCAAATTTATTTAATTTTAAGAACATACAGTTGGGAGAGACTTTAGTGAGTTCCTAGGAAAGACAGTATAACCTAATGGTTCAAAGTATAAATACATTTCAAATTTTACCTCCAGTAATTTTGAGCTGTGTGACTTTGTCACATTATTCAACTTCTCTGAGGTTCAGGCTTCTCATTGGCAAAATGGGCTTTTGTTGGGGAAGATTAAATGGGAGGATACGTTTATTTCTAGCAGTTTCTACTATATATTAAGTGCTTGGTTATGTTAACTATTGTGTATTATTAAATCAAACCTTCTATTCAAAACACACTTCTTCATTAGAATGTTCTGGTTAGAGGATTATAAACAGTCAGCAACAGTGAATATTATTTGGGAAAAAACCACCAAAAAGTTCTTATCCTTGAAAAGGTCTCTAGTTCAATGCAGTAGTCTTGAAGTGGTTGAAGTTTTACTATTTCAGTGATGTCAGGCAGAACTACACAAAGTAAGAAAGGAAAAGAAATACCTATTTAATCAATATCAGTAGGCATCCAGTACATGATAGGGACTTTATTTGAGAAATAAGGCCCAAGGTTTAAACTTCTCCTAAGAGATTATGACAAAGAGTAAGCAGTTGTGACTAAAAGGTAATTTTCACTTTTAGTATTTGGGGTCTCCAATTTCTTTCCACCTATGAATGCAGAAAAAAAGAAATAAACTTACCATGAAGGGGAGATATGATTATATAGCCTTCAATAAAAAATACATTAAACCTTTAAATCAGAGTAATATGATTTATTACTTTCCAGTTCCAACTTTATTAGTCCTTATACATACTGTTTCCCTCATTTATCTCTCTTCTCTGGCCCCTTCTTCCCATTTCTAGTGTCCCAGGGCTGGCTATTCAAAAGGGTATCTCCCATTCCAAACTTACCTTTCCTTGGAAGAGCTGAGCTGCCTTCTGGAATTTTTGTATGCTTTCTTCATACTCTGAGGAGGCCTTGTTCATCAAGAGTAGTAGATGAACCTGAACCATGCTATTAAATAGACCAATTGCAGTCTAGTAAATTAAAGTATTACAGTTGAATGAAAAAAAAAAAAAGGAAGGAAAAACAGCCATTAGTGACTCTGCAGTAGGTGCAGACTGCAACGTAAATGAGACCTGTCCAACCACAGCACACATGGTAACTCACTTCTAAGATGACACTCAGTAAGCCACACCCTCTGGTTTTTATTCACCTCCATATAGCCCACCTCTACATACTGAATAAGGCTGAGTCAAGTAATCAATAAGATAATGCAGAAATGATGAACTGTGACTTTTAAGGTTAGTTCATAAAATGTATCACGGCTCCTGCTTTGTTCTCTTTTTTATCACTCACTCTTGTGGAAGCCAGACCAGTGTTGGGGCCTCACCTAGCCCTATGAAGAGATTTACACTGCTAGGAATTAAGGCCTCCTACTAGCAGCTAGTGCTGACTAACCAGCCATGTGATTGAGCCAGCTTGGAAGCAGATCCTCCATCCACAGTCAGACCTTCAGATAACTGCAGCCTTGACCAAATGCTTGCAACCTCAGAGTCCCAAGATCAGAAGCACTTAGCCTAGTCATTCCCAAACTGTTGACTGACAGAAACTATGTGAGGTAATTTGTGTTTTAAGTGCCTAAATTTTGGGGTAATCTGTTATTCATTAATAGTCAACTAGTATCCTCTAGCATAGTAGTCATTTTTTAAAAAAAAATATTTATTTATTTATGGATATAAGAGCTGGCGTTCAGGCCAGAGGTATGGGGGGGGGGAGCCTGAGAGGATTCACCAGAGACAGAGTGGGGAACAGAACATGCAGATTGACTGAAATACACTGCTGAGGGGAGCAGCAGGCAAGGCAGGAGAGGTCTGCTGCGCCATGTGGGTCACCTCCCTGGCTGGGGATTGAACTCGAGCTGGAGTGGCTGCATATAGTTTCATAGTGCAGATGCTTGCACCACCAGGGAGGTCCCATAGTAGTCACTTTTAAAAATTCTTTATGTTACGAGAGCAGTTAGATACACTTAAAATGTGGGCTTGGTTATATATTGATAGGGAGCACTTATCAGTGTTTACTAAGGACCAGCATTGTTTTCAGGTCTTTATGTATAATAACTAATTTCAGTCTCATTGTCTCAGTTTTGTAAAGGAGGAAGTTGAGGCACAGAAAGAAATAAATCTCCCAAAGTCCCAATGGACCTTATTCACACCAGAGAGTTTGGATTTAGAATCTGGATCTTAGCCATTAGGATGTGCTGTTTCACACACAGTCAATTACAAAACCTTAAGAGTGGTTGAAACAGTATGCCTCAGGTCAGCAATAAGGTAAGCTCTTCAATAGACCAGAAGTATTGATCCTTTTTCTTTGACTAAAGGTGATAATTTCCCATGAAGTTGTTAGTGAATGAGGGGAGTGAGGCAGTGATGAGCCAAACTGAGGAGAGGAGACAGAGGAAGAAACTGAAGCACAGGCTCCTTTCATTTCCTTTGCCTGAAATAATGCTGCAAGTGTCTGTTTTAAACAGATTCCATTCATTCTCTTCTCTGCGAGCTTCTACTACAGAAGGCATTGCTGTAAAACTAGCATGTTCACAGGAAGAGAGAGAAAGAGAGAGATAGTGGGTTGACCAATGTTGGGCAGTTACAGGATGGTGGGGAGTAAGGGGCAGGATCCTTTTGGAATCTACACACCACTCCATAGACTCCCTATCTCTGTTGGCCAACATGTTGGCAAGGCGGGTCCAAAGGGTTCTCTCCCAAAACTTTCTCCTTAGTATTGGGAACCAATCATTAGATTTTTAAACTTTGGAGACTGGATGATAAATAATTAGCTTATGTTTTGCTAGATCTCACAACTTAAAATTTAGAGCATGCATTTACCCTCCTAGAGGAAAGATGGAGTGTAAACAGTTCTGGGAAGAGTCAGGAAATCAAAGTCAAGGAGTTAAAAGGTAGAGTTGTTTTAGAAGAAGGGGTTGGGCAAAGCATAAGTGATTGATTTCATCCTAAAAGACACAGTCTGATTTTTCTCCTTGATGCTAAGTATTAAGTGTGTGTATTAAAAGACATAGAAGGCCAAGTCCATGGCTGTGAGTTTCTGCCCAGTTGTTACTGGTGTAAACCTCTGCATCAACAATACATGAGAAATAAATAGCTATGTAGGCGGGTATCCAAATGAAAAAATATATATATAACTTTTGGGAAATAAAATGGCCACAATACAAATTGAACTTGTTGCTCTAAAGAAAGTCCTAGCTAATATCTTTTCGATGGGATTTTCCTTCACCACTAATGTGGCAGTTAAAATAGAAACATCATAGTTCCATAAGATAAGAGAAGGGCCAGAAATAAGAACTCATGGGCCTCCCCGGTGGCGCAGCGGTTGAGCGCTGGGTTGCGAAGCTGCCCGCAGCCTCTGCGGCGCCGGTTCGATCCCCGGCTACTCCCCGGCCACAGGAGGAGGGTCCCACATGGCGCGCAGACCTCTCCTGCCACCCGCTGCTCCCCTCAGCAGTGTACTTCGGTCCTTCTGCCTGCTCTGCTCCCCGCTCTGGCTCTGGTGAATTCTCTCACCCTCCCGCGCTTCTGACTGTACCCAGTGCATGTATAAACAAAACAAACAAACAAACAAATAAATAAAATAAAAACATGCCTCTATAAAAAAAAATAAGAACTCAGAACTATAGGACACTAGAGCCATGAAACAGAAACCATACAATCCTCTTTCCTGGTTTCACATGCATTCCTGGCAGCTCTTTAGACAACATGACCAGAATGACGACGGTTTAGGAGAAAAATGGCTTCTTGATTATTGCTGCCAACACTCCCTTGAGTGCGTGGGTTTGGAATCTTAGCAAAAGTGGAAATAGAATCACCACCCCATGGAGACCAGCTTGGTATGAGAGGTGGACAGGAATTTAGTCAACAGGAAAAGGGGTGTTTTCTACACAGGCTGTGTGGGGCAATGGAAAAAACTGCAGGATTCATTCAGACAGGCCAGTCGTGAACAAATCAGGACATGGCTGTCTCTCAAGGTTAAATTAATTACCATATGGTCTTGAGGAAGTTACTTTTCTTTTCTGAACCCCCATCTCCTCTTCTGTAAAATGGAATTAGACAATATGAGCTAAGGCATTATCAGTTAAATTTTCTGCCTTAAATCATGCATTTCCTACTTAATCAACCATGTGATCTTGAATAAGTCACTTAGATCTTCAATGTTCTATAAAATGGGCATAATCATTTCCTGTCTTTTATCTCAAAAACAAAACAAAACAAAACAATGTGAGGATTAAATGAGAAAATGGGAGTGAAAGTGCTTTGTCATTTCTAAAAATCCTGATGTGTGTCATTTGGTGGTTAGAGAATGCACAGCATTTTTGAGCTGATATAGATCATTAGAAAGTTATGCTCTCTCTGTGTATGATCTGTGTCAGGGATAATAGAATAACTGTCACACTCTATATGCTCTAGAGTGTTAGAAGGCTGGAAGATTCAGGACAGGTGGGCCAAACTTTGCCCAAGTTGCATGTAGCCCACAACACCAAAGAAGACAAAGCAGGTAAGAAAGCAGATGCACCATGAGCGTCTAGGCATGTGCAACTAGTGCCAGACCAGAATCTATTTGTCCACAAGGAGGAAGCATAGAAAATGTGAAAGGGTCTTTAACAATCTTTAAAGAAACTTTACATTGCTGTGACACCAAATATGTGGTCAGTGGGCCTTATTTTTTTAAATTTCATTTGTCTATTAGTTTACTTTTATTGTATTTTTCTTAAAGTATTGGTTACTGGAGCTTTAGGAAATAAATGGACCTTCAGCATAGATTGTATTTGCGTTTCACAAGTGCACTATGGCGTGTTGTAGGGAGGATTGCATTTGGTTTAGCCAAATAGTCTCAGGCAAGCAGAAGTCAAACATTTTTGAATCAGTCACCTTAACTTTGCTGCCAGCATTTTCTCATTAGTCATGTGAGAGGTCATTTAATTTTTCTCATTGTTTCTTAGTTGAGCAGACCCAAGTCTATCAACCTTAAAGGATTGTAGTACGGAAGGAGATATAAATATTTAGGTGTTCAGTTATTGGTGATTTCTGTTATTACTGGTCAAAGGATCAGAACTGGAGGCAATGATCTCTGCTATGGAGACAAGTACCCTCTCTCAAATAGGAACTTAAAGAATGGGGTACAGGGTTTTTTGTTTACCACATGGTTGTACTCTGTCACCCAGTGGAGGCTGTGGATCTCAATGAAACGGGTTAATTTGGTGTCATCAATGCCTTCAATGTCTTCACTCTCCAAATTCAGTCGTTCATTATCTACCTGGGTAGAAAAAAAAAAGAATAAAATTGTCACTGGTTTGTCTTTATTCAGTTATTGTTAAGTAGTTTTGGATTATCTATCATGCCAGACAGAAAGGTAAATAGGAAATGTTCCCTGCTCTTGGATATTCAGAGAAATCCTGTCCTGTGGGAATCAGAGAAGTAAATAGAACTGTTCCACAGAGTATAGTAAGTGTCCCTGACAGGGAGTGGAAGGCCAAGGTGATATCTAGGGAAGAGCAGAACAGTTTCTGGAAGAGGTAGGTGCTGAAATTGGCTAGCACTTATTCAGATGAATGAGGATGGAGAGGGAGTTTTAAATAACTGTATTTGTGAAAGGCTAAAAGAAGAGAAACATCAGGCCCTGGAAACCATATTTAGTTTCTTGTGATTATAGGAGTAGATGTTAATTGTGGGTAGGAAAGAGACAAGATCTGGGGTAGGTTGGGGCAAAATTCTGAAGGACTTTGAAATCAAGGTAAATAGACTTAACTCCACCCAAGGGTAAGAGGAGCAGTTTTCAGGGTCAGGTTTATGTACCCTTTCAATATGGAATAAAACACACATATAGAAAAAAGCAGAAAATACAAAGTATAAATTATCGCAAACAACTATGGAATCCTCACTTAGGTAAAGAAATGGAATATTCAGAATCCGTGAAGCCCTCTCTGTGTCCATATAATTAATAATCCTTTCTTTTTTTTGCTAAAGAAAACTGATAATCTGACTTGTATGGTGACTATTTTATTCCCCAATAGCTTTACCAATTAAAGATGCATTTTAAAAATACTATAATTTTTTAATTTTATCTTTTTCTTGCTTTTTGTGTGTATTTTTCATTTCTTCTGCTTAAAATTTTATTTATAAGTGTTATCCATGTTATTGCATGTAGTTATCATTAGTTCATTTTCCTTGCTGCATAATATTCCACACCATGAATATGCAGCATAGACTTATTTATTATGATGGGTATTTATTTCTAGTTTTTAGTTATTAAGATAATGTTACAGTGAACACTCTTAGGATGGAGTCCCATGGTATATATATGCCTTTGTATCTGTTGAACATCTGTCTGGGTTCAGGGTTCTGATTATAATGTATGTGTATCTTCCATGAGCAGAAAATGCCAACCAATATCTGTGAACCTTAGTATCACCCCTTCGAGATTACTTTGAGGGTAGTCTCTTTTTTCTGACATATATATTCATATATGATCACCCTAATCCAATTTCAGGGATTGACGTGATTTGAATCTATGCTCTAGCCCATGGGAGGGTGGATCTACTGAAGTTTCATTCTTGTTTTGGGGATATTGCTCTTGAGAGTCTAAAGTAGATCAAAGTATGTTGTACTAGATCGACCTCCTATTTTCTCTTCCAGGCCCTGAGTTCCAGCATTTATTTTTCTGGTTCTTTGAGTGTCTCAAAAAAGCTATAAAGCTTCTCAGACTGTTGGTTGCTCCTTCTTGAACTTCCAGGCACTTCCCAGATAAAAAGCAGTACCAACACAGGGTTTACCTTTTTTTTTTTAATTGAAATAACATTTGTTTATAATATTATATGTGATTTAGAGGTATAGGATCACACCCTTCAGTTATATGTTACCATACCACACCCACACCAAGGTACCCAGAGTCCTCCACATAGTCCATTGTGACCTTCCACACTTTGCTCTCCATCCTCCCCCTCAGGTAGTCACAATTCTGCAGTCAGATTTTGGGATTTGTTATTGGTTTGATTTTTTTCTGATCCTTCGCTTTGTTTCTCTATATTCCACATGTAAGCGACACTATCCAGTATTTGTCTTTTTCCTTCTGATTTTGAGTTCTTTTATCTAGATCTTTGTCTAGATATTTTCCTCTCTCATTAATTTACCAATGCCTTATCATTAAATTATTATTATTATTTTTATTACTATTTGCTTAGCTTTTTAAAAGGTGGTCATTGGTGAAACAGATGGTCAAGTTACCTGGTTCATTATCCCAGTTTTGCATACTCATATCTCTTAAAAGATTGACTTCATACTTCACATATACTTCATTGTTCCCAGAATTTCCTCTTTCCTTTCCCAATCTACCCATACCCATGAAAACACAAGATTATGCTTCCATCACTCATAGCAACTATGCTTTCAGAATTAATGATCAGTTCTGAACATTTCTGTTTCCTAAAATAGTTTGGATCACTTTTGAGATCCTTGGGCCACCAACCCTTGGAAACCTCCTTAACTCCCTTCCCTTTCATCTGTTGTCTCATATCAGTTCTGTCCAACCATGTCTTGCCCTGGATCAGAACTACATTTTACTGCCAAGATTCTTCCTTCCATCCTCTCAGTGAACTCAGATTAATTCTCATTCCAGTGTATGCATTTGGGAATTCAGGCAAAGGTTAAAGCTACTAAAGAATGAGATTACTAGATGACTCATTTTTGTCATGCATGATTTCAGTTTTCTATTTTTCACTTCTTTTTTTTAAAATTTTTAAAAAATATTTATTTTTATTTTTATACAAGAACTGGTGTACAGGCCAGATGTGTGGGAGGGTGAGAGGATTCACCAGAGACAGAGCAGGGTACAGAACAGGCAGACTGATGAAATACACTGCTGAGGGGAGCAGCGGGCAAGACAGGAGAGGTCTGCTTCACCATGTGGGATTCTCACTGGCCAGTGAGGATTGAACCCGAGCTGCAGAGGCTGTGGACAGCTTCACAGTGCGGCGCTCAACCGCCTGTGCCACTAGGGAGGCCCTTTTCACTTCTTTTGTTCAAGAAGGTCTTCCACTGGGTTAATTAAAGGAAATATAAAACTTCAAGAAGTCTAGTGCCCTCCTTATGGTTAATTTTATTAATTCTGGATATAGCTAGTCATTATTTTATGACTTTTGTTCACAACTCAAATTTATGAAACAAAGAAATATTAAGGGTGGAAAATATTTCTACTTCCCAAAAAAGAATTTTGAAAAAAAAAAATTCATCAAAACCATAGGATATTTTAAACTGTAAAGTCCTTTTATATTTTTAATTGTACTAAAATTCTCGGAGTAAAAAAGGCAGAAATGTAAAAGCCAGAGAAAAAAATCTTCTTAGGTGGAGTCCTTACCCTCCCTTTTGTCATGACCTCCCCAAATCAGTGAGGAGGGAGATAAAATGAGCACAGGATCTTTCTTGCTGCTCAAATCCTGCTTTACCAGCTGGCATGTCTACTTTGCACATAAGGCTTTGCTGTGACCATCAAAATCATCATTATTAAAGCCACAGTCAAGGCCCTTTTAATATTTGGTAAGTCTAAATACTTCCTGAATATTTTTCTAGGAACTCAGAAGCCTGGTGCCTGTCTGTGCCTTAACTAATATCACTGTGCTGTGGGCCAGGATCCTGCCCACCCCGCTCTTTTCCAGGCAGTTTCTCACATTTCCCAGAACAGGGAGAAAAGACAGGAAAAACCAGTTACTCCAGGTGTTCCTGGACTTAAAAAGTTCAGTGGATGCAGAGAATGTTAAGTGGTGATAACATTCTCTAAAAAGCAAAGAGCTTTAATAAAAACCACCCTCCTGAAGTCTCTCCAGTTTGCAGTACTTCTTTTAATGAACATGTCTGATTATTTCACTATTTCTTAAACCAATAAACTCTGGAACATTCATGTGTAGGGTTTTTGGAAACAACATTTGAACAGGAAATCTCCCTTCAGTAAAGGGAATTATTTGCATAATACACTGGAGAGAAAAATCTAACCCTGGCACCAGGAGTTGGGAAAGGGTTTTTTAAATTTATTTTTCCAGTTTTTGGAAAGAACTTTACTTAAGATATCATATTATTTTTCTTCCCAAGAAGAGAGCACCAGAAGAAAAACAGAAACAGTAAACCAAAAGGGCTGCTGCCTTAAAATATGAGTTTGAGGTTCTCCAAGAGTATCTGAAGTGGATTATGTTTTAGACACTGCATCATACCAACAGATTTAATACTCATTTTCTGCTCATTTGAACTCCTATGGATTTCTCTGGGTTTTCATAAAATTTATTAAAGACACTTTAATTTACACTACAATTTTAATACTAAATATCTTGGATAGCACCGAGAAATCAGTTATTAAACAAATGTCCATATGTCCCCAAGTTTATTATATAAGCTGTTTAGCTTATGTTGTATTTGATAAACATATACTTCATAGGAAAGAATTTAATAATTTGACATACCTTCTTACATTTTTTATCAGTTTATTTTTATGTACTAGTTCTTCCTGATTCTCTTTGTTTAGCAAGGTGCATTTTTATAATAGCTACCTAGCAAATGATTTTAACAGGAAGGTAAGAATGACTCTACTATGCTTCCCTTACTATCCTACTGGGTCAGAGTTGGTTTATTATACTTCTTAAAATACAAGTCATTTAGAAAATCCAAAGCAAGGTAAAAATTTAAATATCTGACATTCCATTTTAGGACAGGCTCATGGTTTATTCAACCCAGGGTTCCATCTCTGTTGGGGCAACAGTAAGAGCTTGTTGGGGAGTGTGGACAAGTTCCTGCAGTTACACTCACAAAAGACAAGCTGTAATACACAACAAGCAGGCAGGTTGTCATATGCAACTTATTATTCCATTTTACATAAAATTTCCCTGATCACAATTACATAGTCTATATGCATTATTTTTGGTGGGTGTGTTCCATGAATATTGTGTATGCTTGTTTCTTTGTCTCTTTGCTCTGACATTTCAAGCATCCAGTAATAGCAACTCACTATGGTTTCATTGTTTTGTTTTTATTTTTTTCACTAATTTCAGCTTATCTCAAAATGTATGACTTAAAATTGAAAATTCTGTACATCTAAATTTTGAGGTTTCTTTGCCAAAGATTAAATCTTGAGAAATATTGGCATTTGATTAAGAAGTGCCGGGGGGCCTCCCTGGTGGCGCAGCGGGTTGAGTGCAGCACTGTGAAGCTGTCTGAGCCTCTGCAGTGTGGGTTCGATTCCTGGCCGGCCAGGAAGATACCCACATGGCATGGCAGATCTCTCCTGTCTCGCCCCCTGCTCCCTTCAGCAGTGTTTTGGTTGTCTGCCTGCTCTGCTCCCCACTCTGTCTCTGGTGTTCTCTCACCCTCCTGTGTCTCTGGACTGTACTCCAGTTCTTGTATAAATAAATAAATCTTAAAAAAAAAAACTAGATATTCTTTGGGACTATTATTATTTATTTATTTATTTATTTATTTATTTTTAAAAAGAAGTGCCAGGGGGATAGAGACAAAATTTAGGAGAAAGTATCTAAGAAAGCAGGTTTTAGAATTAGGGACAGTAGAGTAGATTGAATCTAGGAGTAAAAACAAAGGTTTTCTTCAGAGCTAGGTGCTTTAGGAAGTCACTGTAGTAGAGTAAAAAAGTATGATTTAGAGGGAGCAATGCTGGGTAAAAATCAGGTGTCTGTCATTCTATAGTTGTGAGACTTTGGGCAACCGAATCAATCTCATGGAATTTAGGTTTCTATATTGATAATGCAGGAATAATACATATTATTTCATCAGAGTCTTATGAGAGTTAAGTGTTAGGACATTGGGAAATACTTAGAATAGTGCTAACATAAATTAGCAACTGACATAAAAAGGCAATAAACAAGGCAAAATCTAGACCTATGATGAAAGTAGATAACAGAAAACTTGCAACAAGTTCATGTTGCCTAATATGTCAAAATAAAAAATATCTTGGTTAATAGTGTCTCCTCAAAAAAAAAAAAAGTTATCCCAAACTACTGAATAATTATCCTGTTAGAATATTTACTAAATTCTTCAAATTGTAAACTGAGGAAAAAATGTTTCTCTGAAAAGCTGGCACGGCATAAGTTGAACCTCTCCTAGATCTGCCAGTAGAGTGAGGCTGGAACAGGTGTGTTTGGTTTTGGTATGGTACATAAATAAATCCTGTCTGCAGAGGTCTCAAGAGTTCACTCAGAGTAGGTCTGTCACTGATGGTAAACAAAAAACAGATGCTAAAGAGGAATGAACAGCTCTGAGAAGTCATCAACGGGGCTTTATAAAGAAGAAATTGTAAACAAAGCCAACGTGCCTTTTAGAGCATGTAAAGCCTACAGAGACATTGAAAGCAACAGAACTTACTTTTCTTACCCACATGTGTATTTGGTAGTACTAAGACATTTAAATCAAATCTAAAAATAAACCGGGGGAGAAGTACCCATGGAGCTGTGGAATTGATTAGGATTTTTTCATTAAAAAGTTATTACTGATGCATTGGCTTAAACTTCCATATCATTCCTATCAAAGCTTTTACAGAAGAGCTTGATTTCACCTTATTTCACAATGGCAAAAATGCAAACCTGCTGTCCAGGTGGGGAAAGGATTTCTGAGGGGGCTCACACATTATCAGACATACATTTGGAGATGGATAATATCCTTAGACACTTTATGAGTTTCTTGTAGGTACAGAGACATATAACAGAGCTTTGGAATATGAAGGAGAATTAGTTGAGATTCCTGCCCTTGAATGGTTCATCGTCTAATGGGGTAATGGGTGAGACAGACACCAAAACATGACATATACTATAAGATGGTAGATATGTATAGAGGTATGGAATTGTAGAGGAATAGTAAGCCAATTTGGAGATTTCAGGTGGTTTTCTGAAGGATGAAATTCCTGAATTTATTCATTGGGAGCTGAGGAGGAGTTAGCTGGATGAGGTTACATGAAAAGGGGCACTAGGGGGTGGTGGCCTTCTAGGCAGAGGATCAGACTGAAACTGTACCATCATACTGTATGTAGTTGGATATTGAGAGGATAATGTCCAAGATGGGGACTTTATCCCCATCTGGGATAAAAATGGAAAAGATGCTGGAAAAAAATGGAGAAGGAGGGCATGATCATATGTAATAGGTAGTGGCCATGTGTAACAGGTAAAGAACATATATAACATTAAGTATCTTGGTTTTTTGGTCTTGTAACAAATGGGGAAACTGGAGTTTTTAAGAGAGTGCCATGCTCAAATTTACATTTAATAAATCATTATGATACCAATTTAGAAATTGAATAAAAAGTTGTACAGGGAAAACAGTTAAGAAGCTATTGAAATGGGGCCTCCCCGGTGGCGCAGTGGTTGAGCGCTGGGTTGCGAAGCTGCCCGCAGCCTCTGCAGTGCCAGTTTGATCCCCGGCTGCTCCCCGGCCACCAGAGGAGGGTCCCACATGGCGCGCAGACCTCTCCTGCCGCCCGCTGCTCCCCTCAGCAGTGTACTTTGGTCCTTCTACCTGCTCTGCCTCCCGCTCTGGCTCTGGTGAATTCTCTCACCCTCCTGAGCTTTTGACTGTACCCAGTGCATGTATAAACAAACAAAACAAACATTAAATGAATAAATAAAAAAACATGCCTCTATTAAAAAAAAAAAAAAAGAAGCTATTGAAATGATTTGTGCCAAAGGTGCTAAGAATCGAAATGAGGAATGAAGTAGAAATAAAGATTCAATAAAACAGGAGGTACATAAGTTAGAGAATGAAAGAATGTAACATACAGTAAAATAATGTTTTAGAGGAAAGAACATAATTTAGCAGGTACAAATAATAAATTCAGTTTTGAGCATGTTAGGACTATAGTGTTTATGAGCCCATCCCAATAATTACATCCAGCAAGCAGGAGAGAGGTCTAGGGTAGCCACAAACCATTCCAAATCCTCTGCATACACATAGTAGTCAAATATGAGAAAGAATGCTCTCACCTTAGGATTACACTTCAACAAACAATGAGCACTTGCTACATGACAGCCAATGTTCTAGGCTCTGTGGATGAAGTTGTGAACAAAACAGACTACTTTCACAGATCATGGATTCTATAAGGTAGGTTAGGAAGAGTGTTGGGACAGTGTATTTAAGATCTCAAAGTTGTAGACACTGAATATAAAATACACTTAGGAGATTTTGGGATGAGAATGAAAGAGAAAAGATAGAAGCTAGAGGGAGCGGGACATTTAGTCCAGAAATCTTGAGGAATTTGTCTTTTGCCCCAGTGTTTCATTTCCAGTGGACTCTGGTCATCTTTATTTTATTAGCCCATCAATAATACAAACTCAACAACCAACTAAAATTCCAGGACTCCCTATTTATTTGTATGCCTTTACTGTTCCTGGATACTCTGTCTTTAAATTTTGCCTCTTTTCTATAATTTTGATATCTACTCATTGTAGGATATGCCTTTCATTTTCTTTTTTTTTAATATTTACTTATTTATACAAGAACTGGGGTACAGTCAGAGGCACAGGAGGGTGAGAGAAGTCACCAGAGACAGAGTGGGGAGCAGAACAGGCAGAAGGACCAAAGACACTGCTGAGGGGAGCAGCGGGCAAGGCAGGAGAGATCTGCCATGCCCATGTGGGTTTCTCCCTGGCCAGCTAGGAATTGAACTAGCACTGCAGAGACTGTGGACAGCTTCACAGTGCTATGCTCAACCTACTGCGCCACCAGGGAGGCCCCTCTTTTCTTCATTTTCTATTACTACCTCTCATTACATGCCCTTAGTTCATGATCTAGCTTGTCAGCCCGACTAAAGTTCTCTCTCTACCCTTGTATTTTTGCCTAATAATCCATCCTAGCCATTACTGCCAAAATGATTTTGCTAAAGCACATTCCTGCTCAGGTTACTCCCCTGTTCTAAAGGGTTAAGGGCTTTCCCACATCAACCAGTTAAGTGCAAACCCACTAAGCTTATATCATTTTTCTCCACATTATGGTTTCAATCATGCTTCTCTATAACATGCACCATCAGTTCCAGTCAAAATGGCTTTACTATGTTTACTACGTTTAATTTTTTCCCATGTTCCTCATGAATTCTCCTCTACTTAGCCCAATTTTAAAGACTCTTTAAATCCCAGTCCAGTTGTCTCCTTCATAAACGTGTTGTCAGTATACCTACACAGATTTTATCCTTTGAAATACTTTTTCTGTAGTGACCTATTTTGCATTTAAATGTTGTTCACTATGTTTATAGTCTCTATATCAAGATCTATGAGAGTGAAGAACATATTTAATGTTTTTATTATCAGTATCTTTATAGGCCACACAGTAGTTATTTAGAACATGTTTGATAAATGTAAGTGTTTACATCTATCAGGATATAAAACTATGCAATTTTTGAGCTCAAAATGACCTTAGAAATGATAAAACAAGACCCTTTTATTTTATAGATGAAAAAAATTGAAGCTCAAAAATGTTGTGACTTGCCCACATTACATGGCTGGTGAGGGACAAATAGTACCACAAATCCTGTCTCCTGACTCTCAGTCCAGACCTCTTTCCATTTCATGACAGCATCTGTTTGTGGAGCTTGAGTTGAGTCACCATCCTTGTCATTGTCCCTGGCCCTGGCACCATCACAAATACTAAAGACATAGAGTCTTTTCTAGTCCCACACCTTTATGAATTCACAACCCCAGGAAAAACTGTTTCCAGATGCCCACCCAACTTACCAGACGAAAGAGGGAGATGGTGTTCCCAGTGATGTTGTAGTGGGCCAGGATCTCAGAAGCAGTGCTAATTCCAAATGACACATCTTGGAATTTTTGCACCATGCTACGGAATATGGACACCACTGGTATTTCTAAATCCTAAAAACAAGAACACAAACAAAACTCCACAAAGACTATTTTGGAGGGGAGAGACACAGAAACAGAGCAAAGATTAGCAATATGCACACTCACATCAGAAATCATGACCTTGATTTAGTGTCCCATGAAACAACATTTGCCTCTAAGATTGCAGGCTAAATGTGCAGTGACACTGTTGAATTTTCCAGATTAAATGTGTTAATAAGTAACTACAAAATTGTGGCTAAGCTTGGAACACTTGTCTAGCTTTACCATAGAACGCACAGATTATTAGCAACTAAGAGGGAACTCAAGATCAAAGAAACCTGCAGAATTGGGTTGCACTGTCATTGATTTACACAATGTTTTGGAAACTATTAGAGGAGGAAAAAAGAAATGCAAAGATAAAAATGTAGGTGCTGTCAAAAGGGTCAAAAGAAAAAAAAACATAAGAATAAAAGAAATTAAAATAGAAGCTTAGAAGTTTTATTAACAGATATTTGTGCAAGGTGGAAGAACAGGCTGCCTCCTATATGCAAACCTTTGGAGACAGTGTATGCCTTGCCCCAGTTCTCAAATGGAGGCCTGCACGAGGGAGTGGGAAGTCACTTCTAATTGATGATTCTAGTCCTTCCCTTGCAAGTTGGCTTCATTTTCTCTGCTGTCACATGACATTTTCCTATAGCTCCAGGTAATAAACTGGAGTGGACATATTCCTCCCTGACATCTCTCTGGGCTGAAGGAGCAGATGGACAAAGAGAAAAGATGACTAACCTTGCATCTGGGCTCAAGCAGAGGGTGTTGATACCTTGCCTATTCTCCTCATCTGGAAGGATGTGTGGCATTTATTTGAAGCTACGAAGTATTGTTACCCTAGACTTTCCCCGGCTCCCTAGAATGCAATTGCTTGTGGATCAAATGACGGCATCTGGTGGCTGTTGGAGTTATTGCACATTCCTCCAGTTCTGCCTTCTTGCCCCTCCCTCCCTTTCTGAGGGTAGCTGATTTTGTCTATAGTTTAGATTTCTCATCACTGAAAAAATGTGCTCCCTAACTTGCTCTCTCACTTGTATCTCATTGCATCTACTTCCAGCTGTGTACGCAGAATCAACAGGGCGATGGGGGGTTGGAATTAATGAATGCAGACACACAGGAGTGTCTGCAATGAAAGAGGAGGGGCTTTCTACTGTGAGACTCTAGATGCTACCTCCAGAGAAAGATAAAAATGCTGGAATGAGGTCCTCTCCCTTTTTGACTGCTTTGATGAGCCAGGTGGCCAATTTGGAAGATGGTGTCTAACACTTTGGCTATCATTTTTCAACATTTCAGAGCAGATAGAGGGAAAGAAAATGAGAAGCTGCCTCTTTGCTAAGAACTTTTAGTCAGAGGAGGTTACTGACTGATGTGTTGTATGGATGATAGAAGTTGGATTACCTTAGGCCCCAGCCTGAGCAATCTAGATAGTGGCTAAACTTCAAATCATGCATCAAAGAGGCATCCCAGCCAGCAGCAACATAATTCAGAGACTGGGAATGTCTTGAAATTGAGAGGTGTTGATTGGCAAGCTGAACTGGAGACAAGACTTTGTGTCCTTTGGTTTCTAATTCAGTGTCACCTGCCCAGCAAGAAACTGTCTAAGGTAGAGCATTCCTTGTTCTTTGGGGCAATAGCAAGTGGGGTATCTGGACAAACCTGGAAGAAGCCCACGACAGCCACATCAGCAGCAGCAAGGAATTCCACGGCAGCCGGGACATCTGTGAGCCTCACAGGGCCCTGGGAGTCACCAGGACCATCTAGACATGGAGGAGAGTGAGAGAAATGCTGAAGAGGTTGGGCTACTGAGTGGAGAAGAAGCATCTCTAAATAATGAGAAGCATGTATACATTTTGTCTTTATGCTAGAGCCAAGGTAATCTAGGGGTACTGTTATCATTTAAAGGCTTTATTTTACTAACATATGGAGCATGACCCCACCATATGGTCTCTCTCTGATGGGTACTGCCAGACTTTTCTCTTCTCTACCAGGATACATTTCTCTTCTCTACCAGGAGAGTACTACCAGGTTTTCTGCCTTTCTCTTAACTATACTTTCACCCTCTGGCCGCCCAAGTGCTTTTTTCTTTTACCTGAGGATCCCTGAACTTCAGCAACAACTTCCAGGGACAGCCAGCACGTGAAGAGAAATAATAGAAACAGGCATCTGGACGGGGCAGCTTCCATTATTCTCCTGCTCCTGTTCTTGCTCCAACTTTGTGTTTTGGGATGTTGATCCAGCGCAGCCCACTTGATAGTTAATTAACTGTGGTGTGTTTAGTGTTCTGGGAACTTTGCAGCTGTCTCTAGGGGAACCTTCAACTTCTGAGATAAAAGGCCAAGTTCAATGACAAGGGCTCAGAACATAACCAACCAGAAGAAAGTCAAGTCTGTTTATTTAAATAATGAAAAAAGAAACATTCCATGCCAGGTATGACTGACCTGCACTAAGGATACAAAGATAACTGTGGTCTCATCCAGCCACTCACAGCTTAGTTTGTTAATGTGTGACATCGAAAAACAAACAGATCATTTAATTATAAAGTGGACAGTGATAGAAAATGGAAAAACTCATAGAACTCTCTGAGAGTTTAGACTAAGGACATTTAAGATAATGATAGCAGACCTCTCCTGCCGCCCGCTGCTCCCCTCAGCAGTGTACCTCGGTCCTTCTGCCTGCTCTGCTCCCCGCTCTGGCTCTGGTGAATTCTCTCACCCTCCCGTGCTTCTGACTGTACCTAGTGCTTGTATAAATAAATAAATAAATCTTTAAAAAAAAAAAAGATAATGATAGCTTCAGACTTTCTCCTTTCAGGGAATGGCCAAGCAGAGTCCTGGGTAAATACCTTTGATTTTGCAGGGAAACAAAGAGAAGAAACAAATCACAGAGATGCAAATGTCATATGAAAGAATTACTAGTGAGTATTACAAAAGGATGGGAATAAAAAATACGGACGTAAAACATGCTGGGACTGATCGCAGGGGGCCTTATAACTAAGGCTAGGCACTTCAGTTTTATGCTATGGTCTGTGGGATTCTGTTCAGAGCTTAAATAGATCACATTTGGCTCACCGGTGCCTGTGGAAATCCAAGAGACTCTCACAGGCAGTAGGATATATAGGTCTCAAGATTAGGTGAAATTTTCTTGTGATAATACTGCATATAATTTAAATTGAGATTTTTCTGTCATTTAGAATATTCATTGCCCACTGCCCTGGAACAAGTGTTCAAACTGTTCCTAGTGATGCAAATACCTCCTATATTGTGCCCTGCCCCACACCCTCTGAGAAAACCCATGAATGCCAATCATCCAATGACCATATCTGTTCAAGGGAAGAAAGCAAAAAAATAAGATTCTCAGTCAGATCATACAATTGCTTTATTGCTTTTTCTTTTGTGGAGTTTACAGAAAAAAAAAAAAAACAAAACCCGTTTGGCAGGGAATGTGATTAGAAGAATTTAGGGATGGGAAGAGCTATGGGAACCCAAATGAGAGTACCATTAGTGGTGACTTGAACACTTCTTGGCCTAGTGGGGATTGCTGTAATGAGCATAAGAGAGAAATAGATAATAGATCACTAGATAGATAGATAGATAGATAGATAGATAGATAGATAGATAGATAGACAGATACCTTTGAAGACCTGGCCAGGATGGGCGGTGAGGAGTGGGCAGGATTAAAGCCTGCATTAATCTTGGCCTTAATCTTGAAAAACATGCTGAAACTGATTACAGGGGGCCATATATAATAAGCATAGGAGCATCAGTTTTATGCTGTGGTCTATGGGATTCCATTCCATCCTGGTGCCAGGCTCACTAGTGCCAAATATGACAGTTTGTTTTACTGCCTATTTTGATAGAGAACATGGGATAAGATGCATCAATAAGAAAATGTGGGGAAACTAGAGCGAAGGGAAGCTGCTGTGAACAGGGAGGAGGAACAGGGCAGTGACAATGACCATGGCTGAGCTGATTCTTCTGGGTGGCAATGCCAGGGAAAGGGATGGCAGAGACACTTATTCTGTCCACTCCTTCTTAATGGACAGGTTCCACTCCCAGGTAAGATGGTCATGCTTGTCATCATCAGTGAAGAAGGACTTGTTGTGGTAAGTGCCTCTGGCCAACATGCCCTTGGGAGCCTCCTCCATAGGAGTTAGGAACTCATATTCCTCTAGCCGAGGTCCATAGCTGCCAACCATATATACTGCTTTATCCACTAGGAAGAAAGAAAAGTTCATTAGGGTAAGAGTCTGATAAAGGAAAAACATGCACACTGGAGAATTTGGAGCACAGCTTATAGTGATTAAAGTCAAGAGCTATAGTTTTCAAGCCTGGCTAAACATGAGCTTTACCTGGGACCCTGATTTTTTAGTATTAAAATTTTTTATATCGGCATGCCTTTTAATAAAAATTTCCTTTTACCATCTCCCAAAAACTATGGTTCAATAATCTGCTGTGGGTCCACAGAATTTTTAAAAGCATCACAGATGATTCTAGTATCAGGAAAGTTGGGGAATGTGCCCCAAACCAATGTGGATCAAGATTCTTCTTGTGAAGATGTAACTGATTGTACCATAGAAAAAAAAATCCCAAACTAGTTGAGACCTGAGTTCTGGTCTCAGCTCTGTAACTACTTCCTAATATATACAACAGTTTCGGAGTTCCCATCCCTTTTTCTATGTAATGAATTCAAGGATCTTCTATCTACAAACTATCAGTCTACAGTATATTGATTGGAGATAATAAGGTACTAGCTGGTGATCAGAATGAGCAGACTTCATGGATGGAATAATTGGATGGAACAAGAAAATACTTTGGTTAAAATAAAAGCAAAGAATTGGGACACATGGTGAAAACAGACAACCAAAGTTATTTACAGGTTAGTAACTGGGATATATACTAAGAATGGCTTGGGATTAGCAAGTATAGTAAAGGTGAGTAGCTGGACAGACAGCATGTCATTGGCTGTTATGTGGGGTAAGTCTGAAGGAACAACTACAGACACATCATTGTCCTCTTGCCTAAGTTAGGGAACTTAATCTCTATGCCCAAAGGAAAATAGAAAACTGAACTATTTTTTCATGAGACTATATATTGGCCAGACTAGTTAAGATCCTTCAGGTCAATACTCTTCTATGAGATCTGAGTAACTGAGTGGTTCTCTACGTTGTGCAAATTTATGAAAAAAATTCTCCCCATCTCTTGCTTATGGGTTTGTTAGAACTAACCTATGTATTACTGTTTCATATCTCTGGGGGAAGAGAGTCCCTCAGGTAAAAGGAAATGGAGAAGTTCTGTTACATTTCTACTTTTCATTTCTGCCAGTAGTGAAGGAAGAAAACTGAAGACAGGTTCCCAAGGCATGCACAGTTCAGGTACAACCTATCAAGTACAACTGTAGATGAAGTAATCTTAGGTTATTTGTCTCAGTTAGCTGGCTTTTCTCAATTTGAGAAAGTTTTTTTTTTTCTATTTGTTTGTTAGGAACCCCCCACCTCTACCTGTCCTCCCAGTTACTCCCAGCTCCCATTCCCATCAGATACATATAACATCAAATAGGTCTTTCCTTATCCTATTTTGGATTTCTTTGACACACAAAAATTATACCTATGAACTGCCTTTTTTTTTTTTTTTTTACTTTTGAGATTACTTTTATGTACGTTATTTCATTTAAGCCTATCTTGGTTCCTCTTCTCCTTTATGAGTAATAAAGTTGAATTCCAGAAGCTAAATGCGGAAGGTTAGTAGCTGACCCAGTCTAAACTAGGTTTCCTGAATGTAGACTTGCCATTAATGTCTAGGTTAGAGTTATGTGTGCGAGTGTGCGTATCCACAGCTTTTAGCAGATTCTAAACTAAGTCTATGGTGAAAAATTGTTAATAACTAGAAGATTAAGTAACAGTTAGAAGGGGTGTTTGGGACAGTGTACAGTGTGGGTCTCTTACCTTTCATCCCAGTTCGGTAGGTGTGCTGAACATATTTCAGGCCTGACACAATGTCCTTGTTCACCTGTAGGTAGAAGGATCCAAATAATTCCGATTAAAGAAGGTCTTTTCTTTTTCCTCCTCTTTCATGATGATCTTGCCTACCTCAGTCTTTTCTGAGGTGAAAGGACCGAAGATTTATTTCAGAGTAAGTGTTGTTACTACTATCATTTAGTGTGGTGGTAAGGCAGAGACGAGAGCTGAGATCGTAAGGTTCGATGTCAATCTGGTTTTCATCATTGAATGCTGTGATTTTTCTTTCTAGGGGTGGGGTGATTAATGAAAACATTGTCTCATATGCTTCATTATATTTCTCCTTCCTCAATGATCCAAAAAATGGTTTTTGAGTTCCTCTCCCTGATATTAGTATCCAAAAGACTGTCCTTGTCTTAGGACGGGTCACAAGGTACCCATGGAAATTATTACTATGTAAAGATCTGAAAATCCTAACCTCAGAAAGGATCCACCTAGCATATGAAAAACAAATAACTGGGGGAAAAGTCGTAGTGGAAAATTAGGTCTAGAAGATGGTTGTTCCGGTAATGTAGCTGTGATTTGAGTCTACAGATGAGGGATGGGCCACATGAAAACATCCTCCCCATATGTAAATAACCAGTGAAATCCACTCGTGTCTGCCAAGCATTTTGGATCTCATTTCCAGACGTTGTCTGAGATCTTGCCACTTCCCCAAGCCTTTCAAAGAAAATTCACTAGAGCAGAATGAAAATATAGACAGGCAAAGCACTTTGTTTTTCCATGATTCATTTACCTAGGTCTGAACTGGACTGTCTTAATTTTATACAGTAGTCATGTCTATACAAACAAATTAAAGTGGACATTGCGTCACTAGCTAGAGAGCTTGGTTAATTGTTCATCAATATGAAGAACTCATGCATCTTAAATTATTTCTCCCCAATAATAATTATAACTACCCCCCATTTTTTGAGAAAATGAAGAAACCAATCTGTCAGTGTACATTTTGTCTTGTTGGCAATGAGGTAGCATAGCAGTGAACACTGCCATCTTATGTTCTAGACTGTTATTTAGTAAAATCTGAAGTATAAAACTATTGAAAGCAGACAGAATGAAAACAGCTTCATGGAGGAAACAGTGATAAAATAAAACCCAAATGTTCTGATTACTCTGACTCCCACAGAAATGGGGAAAGTGAATGCATCATTCTAGAAGTCTCTAAGCTGGTTCCTTGGATCTAGCAGGAGTTTGGCGGAAAAGCAGGCCAAGAAACAGAATAATTGTGAATAATAAATGCTACAAAACAAAGAGTCTCCTTTCTACATCTTCTCGAAGAATCCACTTCGTATAAATGTGTGTGAGGATAAAAAATATTTTGAATATTCATAGCATTCACTTCCTTTGTCTGTTTGTTCCTCCCCATTATCTCTTCCATGCTCATAGAAAGAAGCCTTGGTGACATGAATAAATGTGAGGACTGTGGAAGTTAGATATACTACATTTTCTTGGGAGGCAGTAGGAAAAATGAGAGAAACTAAAAGAACCATCCCAGGCCAAGTTTGGGAGAGTGTTACGAAGTTTGGGGGTATAAAGAGAAGAATCCCGAGAGTATTTTGAGGGATAATGAAAGAGTATGTTGCTGGTGTTGTAAATGCAAACTTCCTTGGACATTATTCAAGAGTTTTTAGTAACAATTTAATTTGCTTCTCAAATGTTTTCAATTTTGAGCTGGTGTTTCTGCCAGGGGTAGCTCTATGCTGAGACAGGACACAGGGTGGTTCAACTTCGTGGACTATATACAGAGAGTGGCTTTTCTTCTGTTAGAGACAAGGCCAGATCTCTGAAGAAGATTTGAAAACTCCTTTCTGTGCCCTGTTCCTCCATCCTCTTAATGTGTAGCCCTGATGGCCAAAGACCCACACCACTGCAGTCTTCCAAGCTTCCCACCCAGAGCAGGCTTTTCCAGGCTTTTCCTTCACATCTTATTCACATCAAAGTTTGTTTATCATATTTCATTTGATAAAAACTGGGTTACTAAATTAACAAAATAGGACAATAGCATTAATGATTTAAATTTGGACAAATAAGTAACCTATTCTAGGCATATTTGAATACAGTTCCTTACCAGACTCTCTCAGGTCCTTCAGTAATAAAGAACTATAGGAAACTACAGTACTGCTGGAAATAAGTGAACAATAGCTCACTGTCTATTATAGATTAGGCTTCAACAAATATTTTTGGAATGAAACTTTTTTTAGGCATGTTTGTGTATGGTAGAGAGATATTGTTGATGGAATCACACCCTACACCATGGAAAGGATTCTGGCCCAGTGTACAAATTGAGGGCAGATGGGGTCTTCCTTAGTAGAGACCAGACCCTGGAGGATATGTCTGAGTGGGAATGAGGGACAACCAAGGCAAACACAAACAATTAAAAGCAAACAATAAATTTCTGCCCTGTTTGTTTTCCAAGTCAAGGTGACTTTACAGTTTTGGCTGCTCATTGAGTATGTATCTATTCATTCTTTATCAGTTTCTCTCCTATTTATTTTTTTTAAAGATTTATTTATTTATGCATACAAGAGCTGGAGTACAGGCTAGAAATGTGGGGGGTGAGAGGATCCACCAGAGACATAGTGGGTAACAGAACAGGCAGACTGACTGAAATATACTACTGAGGGGAGCAATGGGCGAGACAGGAGAGGTCTGCCTCGCCATGTGGGTTTCTCCCTGGCTGGCTGGGGATCGAGCTTGTGCTGCAGAGGCTGCCAACTGCTTCATAAAGCGGTGCTTAACCCCCTGAGCCACCAGGGAGGCCCTCTCCTATCTATTTTTGATTTTATCTGGTTACCTGCTACATAACTATAAATGTTCCTAAAGTATTTGTGACTTTTTAATTTTTTAAAACAAAATTTTATTGATTTACTGCTAATTTATAATACTATATATATTTTAGGAGTACAGCTTCACACCTCTATTTTGTTATAAGCCTCACCTTACCCACTGTGAATTTCTAGTGCCATTCTCATGATCAAATTGACCCCCCCACCCCATATCCTTTTCTCCCTCCTTCCTCTATAACTATAATTACTACTTCCAGTTATTTACCAAGGACCATGCTCTCTGGACTTATATAATCATTGAGCAATTACAGTTGAGTCTGTGTCTTTTATATTTTCTTTTTCTATTAATTGATTCATTCATTATCTATTTCTCAACAATTTTTCCCTAAATCTCTCCTGTTTGCAAAGTTTTGTGTGAAATATTGGAGGGAAGGGCTCTAGTCTCTCCGTATCTCATGGTGCTTAGACTGTGCAGGAGAAATGACACAAATCGTACAATACAGAGCAGTGTGTGCCTGGTGGAGGTGAATGTGAGGAGTTCATGGAGAGAGGAATCCCACTGACTTAAGTGATTCATGGGAATAGTTGGGAAAAGGCAGGAAGCAAGGGTAAGTTTCAAAGATAGAGTTCAGAGATGGGCAGAAGATAGTCCTAATCCAGGGGAACAAAAGAAACAAAAAGTATGCCAATGTGGTAATGTGAGGAATTTGACTTTTTCTTTTCCTGTTGATAGGAAAAATTTAAACTTTATAAAAACATACATGGCAATGGTAACTTACTTTGAAGTGAATTTTGACTCTATATTCAACACCTTCCTTGAGCACAAAAGTTTCTTTTTTGAAGGCTTCAAGATCCCCTGTAGAAGTGAATTTAGAAAGAGTTTATTCTCCTGGGAAGGAGATACACTAGAGGACGAATGAAGTCTTTGCTCCAGAGCCATTTGCTAGGCCCCTCATAACAACATGGTCCAGATGGCTCTCAAGTCAGAGTGTTTGATATTCGTTGCTGTGCGTACCACACTTGAAATGCCTGAGATCTTATAGCTAGAAGAAAGACATGTGATAGACCTTTTCCTCTAAGTTTCCTGACAGCCCTAAAGGTATACACTACCATTAATGAGTTATATGTAAAAATAAGACTTTTTTCATTGAGATATAATTTACATATAACTTAGTTTCAGGTGTATGGCATGATGATTCAATATTCCTATATATTTTTAAATGATCACCATGAAAATTCTAATTAATATCCACCACCATATGTTGTTAGAAAACAATGTGTTTTCCAATAGTCAATAATAAAAGCAAAGTTATAACCTATCATCCTAGAGGGAAGTCTGAATTATCTTTTTAATCTGTTTATGAAAATGATATTGCATACATGTGGTAAAATGAAGAGGTGATTAACGAATATGTCCCTACCTTCACATAAAGAAATAGAAAGAAAATGTACTGGAGTAATAGCTATTGCTTTTGTAGATTTGGTAATGTTTGTAGTATTTTCTAGTTTTTAAAAATGTACTTGTTTTTGAAACTTTTTATTATTTTAAATAATCACTTTTGTTCTTAATTTTGCACTTGCATTTGTAGTTTCATATTTTTAAAGGATAGTCACTTAAGGGGAACAAAAGAAACAAAAAGTATGCCAACATGGTAATGTGAGGAATTTGACTTTTTCTTTCCCTCTTCAGTTTCAGACTCCATAAAAACAGGATTTACCCGTAGTCTCTTAACCCTATTAGAGAGGTAATCTTTCTCTGTTCTCCTATGTGATCCAGCATAATTTGACAGTCAAGTGCATATGTTTGCTTTGCATAGCTCTGTTTATACACTTTTTGCACATAACTGGTACTAGCATGAGATGTATATGTATTTAGAGAGAGATCTATATATCTAATATATTTATAAATTATATATGTATACGGAAATCTAATTATCTATCTCCCTCCCTCCCTATGATTCAATTCTAAAGTTTCTTTATGCCAGAAAAGGGGCAGACACCAAGTTTTCCCTGCAATATCCTCAAGCTCTTCTGAACAGATTTTCTGTGTGCTATTGAGACCTTATCTTGCAGCTGACAATTGTATCTGGTAGTGTTACACAATCACACAGGAAGAGGTCTGAGTTCTGGAGGGATGCTAGAATGTGGGGGTAGTTAAAATGGTGTGTTTGCTCTAATGATTTCAGTTGAACAGGAAGTGTGTCTTTTCAGCCTCTGCTTTCCTCCCTCTGACAAAAGCCCATATAAGGAAGAGAGTGGATCTTTCCTGTGTGAGGGGAACTACCTTGCTGCTGAGTCTACTGTTTGAGAATTTTGCCTTGCTGCTGCAGGGGGCCTTGTTGCCCCAGCCAGGTAAGACACTGGTAAGCAGCTAAGAAAAGGGCCTTCCACCATGGGGCCGAAGCTCAAAAAGCCTCACACTGTGGGGCTGAAGAAAAAGGGCCACACACCGTGGGCCAAAGATTTTTAAAGAACCTTACACCATGGGGCTGAAGATTAAACATCCCTTTGTTTTTTGTTCTTGGTCATAAATAGAAAAAACTACTTGAAATATACATTGGGCAATAAATTATACGTATAAGAATATTGTAAATACATGGCATGGAGAATTACCTACTTAAAAATTAAATACTGAATAATTTGGCCCACTTGACATAATAATAATAATAATTGTGAAAGAGCATGCCTGATAAGCAACCCAGAGATGGCTGCGGATTTTCCTTTTATGGAAATTCCGTAAAGAAGCCTTGTAATGATTCATAAAGTTGATTACATTAGGAGTTTTTAGGTAGAAAAAAGTTCTAATAACTGATTACCGGGAAGCAACTGGTCTCTATCCGCAGGCCGTATAGCTAGAGGAGTCTCCTGATATTGTAGCCTTGGTGATAGGGATGTCCCAAGGACTATTAGCTGTCTTAGGTAGTTGTTTAGGCTGAAATAATGAATCTAAGTTTTAATAATCTATTAACTTTTAAGGTCGTTTCTTTTATCAAAACACGTAGGTGCCAAAATGTCTCTGGGAAAGGAATGTACTGATTGTTTCTGTTTTGCTTCTATGCATTCAATGATGTATTCCCACCGCTTGCCTTAATGTATAAAGACCCGATGAGACCCTCAGCTGGAGATAATTGCATCAAAAAGAGTGTCTGTCTGCCTCACCCCCCTCCCCTCAGGTGCCCGTTGCATCCTTTCAGGGACACCTGACCCGACATTTTGCTGGAGCTGGTCTTTGGCACCTTGCTTTGTCTCTCGAGTCCACTTTTTGAATTTGGTAGCGATTTATTTTCATTAAAGATCTGCCTTTAATGCCCCCAAACTCCTAGATCTGTGGTCCTTTCCTCATTTCTCTTAGAGGCTACTTTCCCTCAAGAAGGTGGAAGAACATAATATCTTAATTTGTATTTTTTTTTTAGTGGGGGGAATTTGTTTATTTGACAAGAATCAGAGCCTTAAGCTAAAGTTACAAGTACTTTAAGTAAAGTAACAGTTACTTTAAGTAAAGTAACACCATTCTTCAGGAGGTCTTAGATTGCTCCTTGCCTTCAGGTAAGATCTACAGTTCATAAAAGATCAATCCTCTCTTTTTTTATTTTTGCATAGAAGAACTGGGGTGAAGGCCAGAGGTATGGGGGGGTAAGAAGATTCACCAGAGACAGAGTGGGGAACAGAACAGGCAGATTGACTGAAATACACTGCTAAGGGGAGCAGCTGGCGAGACAAGAGAGGTCTGCTGTGCCATATGTTGGCTAACTCCCTGGCCAGGGAGTGAACTCAAAGCGGTGAAAGCTCTGAAACCAACAAGGAGGCCCAAAAATCAATCCTTTCTTTGGTATTTATATTTTAGGAACATTACAATTCCAAAAGTATACAGCTTGCTTCTTAATATTTCTACTAGCAGTTTTTCACATGAATAGTAATTAAAAATCTGAAGTATTATGCAAATAAATATATCCAGTACTTATGAGGCAGAGATTGGGCTTTTCATTAAGCTTGGAGAATACTGTGCACCCTCCAAGCAATGATTTGTGAACTGGCCCTAAGATTTATCTCAGTAGGGATTCCTTTGGCCAAGTGAGACAAGGGATAGATACCAGATTACCTCAGCAATATAATTACACACCCCCTGAGCAGACCAGATATGTCCACTTACCAGTAAGGTCCATGGTGATTGGTCCAGGAGCACTCTCACAAACCAAGGTAAGGCGGGTGACAGTGACATTGGGAGCTGATGGGTCTGCAAGATTCCAAAGGGAATGTGAGCGCAGGGAAGAGACATATGCATATAACTGTATATATGTGTGTGCATGTGTGTGTGTGAGTGAGTGTGTTTGTGTTTGTGTGTGTTTCAAATAAGACAGAGAAATATAAAAAGAATCATGATGTCTCTACAGGGAGTAGAAATGGAAATGGAAGTGGCAGATTCTCCATGCTTGATCTTAATGGCCTTATAAATTACAGCAATGTTATTTCTGCTGCAGGCACTTGTAGGTCCATCTCAATTAGCTAAGGGTAGCCACTATAGTTGGGCATCCCTCATTTATATTTTTGGGCCATGTTTTATTTTGTCATGTATGTGGAAGAGATGAATGCTTAGGTAGGACTGAGAAGAGAAAGAAGGAGAAAATATGAGGGAGAGTATGATTTTTTTTTTTTTATTGAGGTAACTTTAGTTTACAACAGGAGAAAACACAATTCTAAATGGTAGTCTGGAATGCTTTCTAAATTTTCCCTATGTGATATTTTTGCCTATTGCTATTTCTACTTGCTTCTTAACCCTAAAGAAGACTTAATTATACATAACTTTATGAGCCTCTAAAGATGTGGCTCACTCATGTAACCCTGGAAGTACTCAGTACTCTCTCCTTTGCACCTGCTTTCTAGTAGCTGAAATATGTGCCTGATCTGGGCCTTTACACCTGCCCCTCTCCCCCATATACACACCTGCCACCACAGGGCCATCCCCTAGGAGCGTTTTCTTATACTTAGTTAGGCTTTCATCATCTTTGTCCATTTCCTGCAGCTCTTTCAGTGACTTCTGAGGAGGAGGCTTATAATTGAGCTTGCTGTCCAGTTCATCATCACCCTCCTCAAGGTGTGGTTCTGGGGTCTCTTCGGTCATTTTGATCTCTGTCAGAGAGAGAAGATGCTAGACCATTAGCTAAAAGTCTGTGGATGTGAAAAAAAAATTTAGGCCTGTATTTACACCATCCTTGCCCTAATAGGCTTCCATAATTTGTCAGTGATCTTTCAGGAGAGGTTCCCTGGTTCAACCTGTTATAGTTTTTCATGAAATTAGAATATAATATGTTCCAGTTTCTTCTCTGACTTGCCTGGATTTCTTTGTTGTATGATGAATATCTCTTATTCACTGAGTAAAACTGACAAGGAAGAAATAACTAATTTGTGAATAATATACTGTAAGTGAAGCTAAATAGCACAAACAGACCTGAATAATGAACAACTAGACCTAGTTCAAATAATATTTTTAAATTGTTGCAGTCCTCTAAATCTGTCCCAGCTCACTAGTGTCAAAACTCTCATCATGTACAATCCCAGGTCTGATGGTTTCCAGAGGCAAGACACTTGCCAAAGAAATTTGACTTTTTCTTCAGTTTCCCTGAACCCCCAAGAAACCTCACAAGTAACTCATGAGAAGTTGTGGCCCTTGTGATGCTACCTGAGGAGTCTGAATGATTCCCACTCAACATTGCTAACAATTCCTTGAGGGTAGGTAGTAGATTCTGTGTTTCTCTTGAATGGAGCATAACATACAGATAGTTCAGTGTTTGCTGAACATTCTGTTCTTTTGAACTGAATGATGCAAAGGACTCTTTAAATCCCTCTACACCAAATTGTAAGTATCAGTACATCTTTGCTACCCCTCCATCAATCTCCCCACTTCTCTTTTAGTACCTCTCTGCCCAATCAGATTTCCAGTGACTTGATGCTCGAAAGCCTCACCTGAGCATACACTGGAATTTGTCTGCTTCCATTGTCATGTACATTAACTTGTTTTGTGTTAAAACATTGAGGATCTAATAAAATCATTCCACACTTAAGGGCTACTGACTGGAAAACAGATTTAAAAAATAATTCTGTTAGGGCATATGTAGTAGGTCTTTTCAGAGCTAAAATGAAACTTGGATGTGATATCTTCCAGTCCTTCAATAATCATTGAGAAATGGACATTCAGAGGATAAGAATATTGCCCAAATTCACACAGCTGTATAAGATACAGTGTCCTAATAAAGAGGAAGGAATCTCTACTGGAAGAATTTTAGGTGCCATGGCTGGCAGCAGTGGACCTATTTGCGGAAACAAGGGTGATCTTTGGACAAGGAGATCATTTCCTGATGCCTTCTAGTTCTCCACCAAGGTTAACGTGCTTTCTTGCCCATGGGTAAAGGCTTCATTGCTTCTAAGTGGCACAACACTGTAAGACAATATCTGTCACATCCTATCCTGAGTGACTCTGCAACCTTTATAAAGTCCATTGGGAATGATATAATCTCTGGCCTAAATCATTTGTGCCTCTGAATTTCAATGCCACTGTCACTGGCAACAGGAAGAAAAATAATTTGGAAGTGAAGCCAAACAAAGCATTTTCACAGTACAAACAAGAAAATAAATGACTTTCCTTGGCTTCTCAATCCTCTCTTGGCTAAATGACAAGTCAGACATGATGACCCCTCATCAGCTCTGAAAACAGCACTGCAATGCCCAGGTCCACTTCCTGTACAGGAAGGAAACATGCAGGTCTGTTCCTATGGCAACCTCTGCTTCAGCTGAAGACCCAGAACCACTCAAAGCTGAGCCTCTAGAGAATAGCACAATAAACGTCATGACTAACTCAACTCATATTCCAAATAACACTTTGGGAAAGTGAATTAAATTGTTGGATAAACAATGAAATATGCAGTGGGTAGAGGTTGTAGGTGGATAGTTTAAGGTCTATCATTAAAGGGCAGATGAAGAGCAACCTAGATAAGACTACTCAAATGAGACATGTTCTCTGGTGACACCCACAAGCCTGACCAGATATGCAGGGTGGAGGTCACATAAGAAACCCAGAGACAGGTTATTTACAGGTGAGGACATCTTAACCCCTGGGGCAGACCTTTCTGAATACATTGCTTGGTACTAATTAGCCATCTGCTTGATGTCTGACCATCACATGATTACATCACACTCAACCATAACTAGCTCAAGATGATTTCAGTAACCTGCAGAAAACTATAACTTTGCACTAACCTGCAGAAAACTGTAACTTTGCACTATAACTTTCTGAATAGTGAAGGGGGAGAGAGAGAGAGAGAAAGAGAGAGAGAGATATTAAAATAGTTTGATCTAATTATATAATTATATAACATAAGAAAAAGAGGTATGATGTCAGGTGACCCCAAACCAGTTCATGCTGGAAAACTGATTAGAAAACATGAAAGGTGAACAAATAGTTGTTTACAGGACACTGTGCTTTAATATAGTGATGTTTAAGTTATTTTCCAAAGTAGAGAAGGAACTGGAAGATGGACAGTATAAACCATACTAGAAGGATCCAGCTGGTTGAATGGTTGGATCTTGTTATATATTATAGGCCTGTAAAAATCAGATGAAAGTTATAGTCTTTACAAAAGGTATAGAAGAATAAGTCAATTAAATTGTGCATGCAGTCCAAGGTTTCATGGATCTCTGAAATCCCTCATAGACTTTATTGGAGCCCAAGATTAGGAATATGCCCTTGAGACTGTAATTTATGGTAAACATAAATTTATGTAGCAGAGGTGAGTGCTATAGAGGATATGTGCTTCTCTTTGAGGCTGGATGGATCAACAACACAATTTGGCCTCAGCTAAAGATCATGTCCATGAACCCAAAATGCTCCTCCAAGAAGCAGATACCAGGTAACATCTACATCTGAGGGGCTGTGGCCACTAGGCAGAGGAGCAAAGGTACAGGGGGCGCTTCTTTAGAAGAGTTCTGGGTCTGTTTGATTTTGGATATATCTTGCTTCTCTCATCTAGGCCTCATCACACATAGGTTTGGGTTCTGATTTTGCTAACTGTGACTCTGTGAACAAATGTTTTTCAATATGGTGGAACTTACTTTCTTCCTCTGGGGAAATGTGGGGGGGAGGCGCTGGTTACAGTAGACCACCTCTGGGTGGTTTCTTTTACTAAGACCTCTTTCTGCAATTTTCTCCTGTCCTGTGGCTATATGTCAGCAAAGTTGCAGGCATTCCATCATTTTATTTCACCTATGTTTATAGGAGACTATTTTATTATTTCTAACTTAGAGAATTTCCAAAAGATTTTGTGTCTCCAATTTTATAATTAATCTCTGGAAAACCTCAGATTTCCCCAAAGCCATGGCTGATTCAATGACAGAATGATTCAATGATTTCTATGGTTTAACAATCTCTGTGGTTTAACAATGACTTCCCGAACTCTATGTGTATAGTTAACAACAAATATCAGTTCTCCCTTTTTATTCTCCCATTCCGTGGTTGATTGCTAAAATAAGAACAAGTGTTTTATAAATCCTACAGACTGATTTTTACTATTGATGATCGTGATTATAATAGTTATCATATATAGGTGCTAAGTGCTTGCATGAAGATTATTTCATTTAGTCTTCATCTACTTTAAGTGTGGGCATTATCATCATCCTTTTCTACAGATCAGAGAAGACAAGTTGGGTAAGGAGTAGAGTTAATGTCTAAGCCCAGGTTGTCTGACTTGTAGGAACTATGCTCTTGTTAAGAAGTGACAGTGAAGTTATAGGGCTCACCAGCCATCTTGGGATTCTAGCTCGGGGGCACAGACAGGTCAAAGCTTCTTTGCAAACTCTGTAGTGACAACTTTGACAAAGCAAGGACGTTTCATGTATGTCATATAAAAAGTTTTAGTGCAACTCTGCCCCATTCCCTAGGCCGGGTCACAAAGCCTCACTGTGTTCCATTTTCATCCTCTGCGAAATGAAGTGGTTACATTAGGAGAGCTCTGTTGCCCCTTCTTAATCAATGACTCCAATATTTCTTAATATAAAGAAGCCTGTGAAATATTAAAGCAAAAGAGGAAGTGGAGATAGGGTAGGGGAGAACCCAGCCATCAGCACAGCACATTGTTTGACTTTTTCACCTTCCTCTGAGCTAGCTTTGTTTTACAAGGAACAGAGCTGTTTCAGTTTTTTGCTTCTTCATATATTGTTCTTTGGTTCTTTACGTAGGAAAAGTGAAATGCAGAGTTAATAATTCTATGTTTTATGAGGTTAATGTGGGCTTTTTCAGGCCGCAAGCACATAGGGCTATTTTTTCATGTGCATAGGACTCTAGTTATCTCTACTTTCTGCTTCATCGTTGCCTATCTTGCTTCTCTCATCTAGGCCTCATCACACATAGGTTTGGGTTCTGATTTTGCTAACTGTGACTCTGTGAACAAATGTTTTTCAATATGGTGGAAATTCACAGATGAATTTCCGCAGTGGAACCCTCACACCCCCATTTTTTCTGTTCAGTTAAACAATGTCAAGCAGTACATGTGCTGCGGTGTGAATTTAATCTTCTCATGCATAATTAAAAGGCCAAATTAAGCTAGTATGTTTACTTATGACATGACTATGACCTAGCACACACTTGGTGTTTTTCAAACTGATGCAAATTAAGTGACGTTTCCAAGACACCGAAAGCAAAATTCATGTATAAATTTACACTAATCTCAGGAGAGAGCACACTTACTTGTCTGTTTCATCGAGGTTCTAAAGGAGTCACCTTCAGAGAAAGGTAGTCACCCCCTTAGAACGGAACTGTAGCGACTGAGTCTGATGGAGCAGGGATTAAAAACTTGGCTCTGCGACTGACTGATGATAGGACTCAAGCAACCTCACAGAGACCAAAATTTTGCCACCAGTACGGTGGTGGAAATAATATTTCTTCTTGGGGTTGAAAAGTGGAGAAAATATGAAAAGTGCCCCCATCTATTGGACTATACTGGCCCACAGCAGATGTTCTATAACCCTTTTTCCCTTTCCTCCCTTCCCTGCCACGCTGCCTGTTTCATCGCACAGTTTCAGTGAAACAAGGTGACTGGCTGCCCAGGCACCAAATGCTCTCCCTTGGCTCTGCAGTGTTGACAACGTCTACTCTTTCCTCCTTAAAAATAGATGTTTCTTTGAGAAGTACGGAAAAGACAAGAAGTTCTGGGAATTGTAAGGAATGTTTATTAACTGAATCAATCTTAGAATGGAACTGTAACTATCGTATTTAAAAAAAAAAACAACTTCCACATGAACAATTTAATTTTAGATGCTATTTATTTTGCTCGCTTTCATAATTAAAGCCAGAGGTCACTCTGAGAATGATGAGAAATGATAGAGACACAGGCACAGCTAATGGAGAGAATTCCCTCTGGCTTTGCTGTAAAATACCATGGAGACTTAAGATGTCCCATAGCTGAATCTGCCAGATCATGCATCTTGTTGCACAGGCCACGAACATTAGGCAGAAGAAATAGTGGTGAGAATGGCAGAGAGAGAAGAGGAAGTACCAGAAGAAGGGAATTTCCATCAGAGAAGTACCTGTGTAAGCAGCAGCCTTCTGTCAGCCTTATCACTCCTCCTACTGAACTGGATCCTCCCTACTTTCCCCAAATCAGGAGCTGCTGCTCAGGAGAGGTCACAGAGAGTTGGGCCATTTCTACAGGACTGCCATCACTTCAGAGCTGGTCAAGGAGTTGGGTCTGCTACCTGCCTGGCGATTTGGAGAAATCCAAGTTTGTCCCGGAGGACATCAGAGCTGTCTTGGTTCTGGAATCCTCAGTGTCTCACTGTGCCGAGCAACGTGGAATAGCTGGTGCTTCCTCTCTTCCCCCTTAGTCCCTGAGCAAAAATGTCTGAAACTGCAAAGCTAGATGAGATAAACCAACCCTGTGCCTAAGTCAACTGTCTTGCTAGATACAGAAAGCTTTGAAATATCTTCAAAGCAGCAGACAAATGATAAGAAGCACAATTCTTTAACATTTTTCTTGGTGGTAGAAATGATACAGCATTTCTTGTCTGTGCATTCTTAGTACACTCTTCTAGCCCAGATTCATATGCAAGAGGAAAAAGAACTCAACCAATCTACTCAGATTTTCTGACTGACTTACGTACTCAGTACAGTCACAGAAGGTTCAAAATAAGCATGAAAAGTTAGACAAAATTAAAGGCAATTTTTTTATGATGACTACTTGTGCTTAGACTATCAGCTCCTTTAAGAAAGCCAAGTGAATTTTTACCAGCTCTGGCTATGGGCACCATGGTGTCTGGAGCCAGCATCAAGCAACTCAGAAATTGTTTATTGGATGGACAAATGTTGAAATTTTGTGAGCAATATGAGGCCCATCTCTGGGTGTGCCAATCTGGATTCTAATTCAGGATTCCAGTTGGCAATAACACTAACCCTAGAATAAAGGTCCTGAGAATGTGGGGCTAAAGAAAGGGGACATTTTTTTAAAATGTCATTCTAAGGCACTGTAGCTATTGGGTCCCTTTTGTACCAGTATGTGACTTCAGTCAAGTCATGTAACAATTCTGAGCCTCCCTGTGTCCTCTCAAAGTTCAAATCTGAAAGTTTCTAACACTAGGCCTGTCACATAGAAGGCACCCAGCAGATGTGGTTCTCTTCTCTTGCTGCTGAATTTGTAATTTGTACTCCCCTTTAGGGCTTTTCTCTTCCAGTTGATGTTTGCCATGTATCGTGCCCCATAAATTGGCCCGGGTCATTGTCTTTCAGTCAGAATGACTTTGCTGTGCTGAGATTCACAGAAAACAGAACCTCAATGTTCCTTGGAGCATGCCTCCCTAGGGACTAACTCATGCTTTCCCAAACAAGGAAGGACCACATTCTAGTGCCTGAAAGATGCCCCCAGTCAGTTCCTCCACAGCATGGCAAGTTCACTAGTGCTGGATTGGGTAGCATGGATAGAGAACTGACTGCTCTTTCAGAATTCCACACATCCCACAAAAGAAGATGATCTTGCCATTATGCTGTCTCATACCTGGATTTGGGCAAGATACTGTCTTGTCAATTTATAAAACAAAGCAATGGCAAAGAGGAATAATGACTGACACTGCCCCTCCCAACCACACATACACCCAGCGTCAACATAGACCCCTTGATTTCCTTGGGTTGATCATTTCTGCAAGGGGAGTCCCACAGGTTGTGCCTGGTTTCAATGGCTCTGGGGCCCCCTTTATGTGAAGTTCATGTGGGTCTGTGATGGGAGGGCAGTCTGCTTCCCCCCAATTTTGAATGGGTTTATCAGACCCATGCCAGAAGTTATCCTAGGTCTACAGTTTAATGATAGACTATGATTATAAGACATATTGACTGGCACATTCACTAAAAGGGAAGAAAGTATTGTAGATCAAACCTGGTGCATTTCTAATGGTGACCAAATCCAGAACCTGACATTTCTTTTTTTTTTTTTTCTTTATTTTTTTTTTGGAATTCTTTTTTTTTAACTTAAATTTTATTTTTATATTCCCCATACAATTACAACCCCCTTATTTTGATTCCAATCCCTCCTTTCCCTGCCCCCCAATCCCTCAGAACCTGACATTTCAACATTTAGAACTTGGCCCACTGACCAGGGGTCCAAGTTGGGCCCATTTGGATTTTTCTAGACCTGTTCTCTTAATAGATTTTTCAGCATCTTCTGTGTTTGTTTTTGGATGTAAATATTCTTGGATATAAAGAACTGTTTTTTGGAATCAACAACAACCATCTTTCTGCCAGTCTCATTGCAGGAACTTAATACCTGGTTTTTGTTAAGAGATAGAAATTCTATCACTGTTTAACTGGTGAGAAATAGCATGATCTACCATACTTTCCCTTGATAGCTAAATCCCATTGTACTCTGAGGGAGGCTTTCCCATGCACTTCTTTATATCACTAGAAAACTAGAAAATTCTTTAGGGGAAAACAGTTTAAAGTTTGACAGCTTTGAACATTTTTTTTTTTTTTTCATTTCTACAGTCTCTACAGTCTCTTAAAAAACAGGAAACCACATATCTCCACCCCAGCACCAACCTACCATGTACCAAGGCCTCCCCATGTAGGTTTGGATCTTTGGTCTTTTTGCTTCTGAGCTTGGTCAGACGCCAGCTGTTGCCTTGCAGGAGACCCCTTCAGGCACTCCCTAGTGGTTGTACTCAAAGCTCTTCTCCCAGGCTCCCTTCCCTCACCAGTCTGCCTCCCCTGAGTCATTGCTACCATTCCCTGCTCTGACTTCCCTTTAGATGCAGAACTGTTCCAGCAGCCTTATTACTTTCTTATCATAAACTTTGTTTAAAAGAGTAACTACCCCTCTAAAAAAACAAACCAGAGGATTATAGCCTAGTGCAGACATTTCCTGTATTTCTCTCACCTGTAGCCACCCCATCCCCAGGTTTTTCAACTTACATTCAGTGGTTCAGTCTGTCCGGGGTGCCTCTGCCTTCTCTCAACTGTGACTTCTGAATACTGGCAGTTAGAACAGGAAGGAAGTTGATGAGAAAAAAAAAAAATGTTTTAAACCTACTAGAAAAGGAAACCCTGGGCTGTCTCAAATCCTGTTCCTTTGCAGTGCATAGCTCTTGATCAGCCGACTTTGAGCAGTAACCTTGCCAATTCATGGCACATGTGGGAGGGAGCATGACTGTCCAAGTGAACATGGACATGCATGAGTGTTCGTGCAAATGCATGCAGTCTACAGCCACAAATGTTAGGAATATTGTGCAAATAGGTCTAAAAATCAAGTAATTTCTGCACATAAGCTGGCCAGTGCTAGTAGCCTAAAACCACTGACAATTAATTCCCATAGGCTTTACATTGCATCACTAACTTCTTTTCCTGTGGGGTCTTTGCCAGCTTCTTTATCAGCCAGATATGTTGAGTTTGCTGGCAGTGAACACAGAGTGCTAAGAAATTATGAATGCCAACTGCAGATTCTTGGCCCTAAATTTAAAAATTTGTCCTCAAACAGATTTTTGGAGATTTGTTGGTTATAATTTCGAGATCTTGCTTTGTATTGCAGCACAAATAATCAAATGTTGTTTTCACTGTTTTCTTTTAAATAAAAAAAACCCCTTTTGATTAAATCTAAGAATACAGATTATAAAATAATATAAAACTTCATTAATGCATAGTCTTCTAGCTCAGAATTTGTGACAATTTAACAAGTGCTAAAATTGACTGTACCATATTTGAGGAAATAGGTTGTGAAGTAATTGAAATGGGAACAAGTTGCAGAGGACATATGTAACCATTTGAAGAAACAGTTTTTAAGTCCTTAAACCACACTTCTATACATTTTCATAGATGCTGCCAATAATAGATGCTTATTTATACTCATATTTCAATATTCAGTATTTATACTGTTTCATTATCTTTAGAGCCGACTAATCAAGCAAATGCATTTGGAGAAACTGACATTGACTTTGTTGTCATCTAGATGACTGTGTGTTTTATTTACTTCATTGTGTTCTTTGGTGCCACTGGTAATATCTTATCCTTAGTCAGTAAAACTGACCTGATCAAGAAGATGGTGGTTTCAGAAAAGAGATTAATGTTAGAAAAATGTAACCCAATATTACCTTTTCTCAGGTCTTCTCTTGCAGTTTATTGCATGTATTTATCAGTTAGGAAAAAAGAATATTAAGACTTCTTGAAGAGGACAAAAACAGCAGACCTCTGCTTCTAGCCCATGCTGATAAAGAGGAGCTATTAGTGAGGCTTCTTCTCTGTATCTAACCTCGCCCAAATGGAAGAAAATGCCTGTTCTGGTAATAACACTCTTACTTTGAGGACCTTAGTTAGCCCTGTAATGCAAATGAAGCCACCAGAATTTGGAAGCCAGAAAAAATGATCAAACCTTTGAGGTATTTTCCTGCCTTTCCTTTCTGTTATAAGGACACACTTATGGTGAATTCTAGGCATATCTATAGAGTAGCAACTTTGCCAGAAACAAATGTGGAAAAATGACTGTTGAGTGTTGAAACTTCCTCTTTTTGCACAGATGTATTTCTTGGAGGCTGCAAGTCAAGACAATACACTCTCAGAAAAGACTTTTTACCCTGAAAGCTGCCTCTTTCAAAGGTGTCCCTGTAGCACAAATGGTAGCCTGGGAGGAGGAAGAATTGAACTTCTGGTGGATATCCTGGTGCTGTCACTTCCTGTCAGTGTGTTCTTGCGCCAATGGTTTTATTTCTGAGAGTTAGTTTTTTCATGCGTGAAAGAGGGATAATATCAGCCTTCCACATTGCTGGGCAAGTATGAGGAAACACTAGTAGAGCTCCCAGCTCAGAGTGAGTGCTCAAATAATTGGTCCAGGTTAAGGAAATCAGTGCCATCAGCATCATGTCCACATGACATTTTGATCCTTATTAGTGAAGAGCAAATATTAGAATGTCTAGGAGTCAGTTTCATGGGAATGTTTTCAGTCACCCACCTATATCTTAAATACTACCTCCTCCTTCTTGGAAGCTTTCTACCACTGGACGGCACATGTGTCTTTTTATTTTCTGAACATTTAGAGTGTGCATTATTTTTTTTTAGAGTGTGCATTATTTATGCAACATAATTTAGTACTTTAGTGAACAGTGCCTTGTATTGTTAAGTGATTTTTTTCTGGATATTAGATTTAATTCTCCACCCAAATATAAAATGCATGAGAAAGGGTTTTCTCATATAGCAGTGTTATATATTCCTTGTTTGGACTTAAATTGCTATTGATGCAAAGACAGAAATAAAAGATTGTGAGCTTAGGAAAAGAAATAAATGTGGACTGTTATGATGCTGCTAAGTAAGGATATAAAAGAGCTACTTGGGATAAGTGACTGCAGGGTTTAGTCTCAAAGGATAGTAAGTGTTGGGTAGTTGACATGGAGATGGCTGGAAGTGGAGAAGGTATCTGAGGTGAAGGGGGACATGAACAAAAGCAAAGCATCCTAACCAGTGTGTTATGTGCAGGAAATTATAAGGAAGCCCGTCAAGGTTGTTGGGCTGCACCGCACATTACACAAGGACAAGAAATGTGTTGAGGGAGCCAGAGTCTAAGTCACAGTGGACCTCCAGAATGGTGGTTACCAGAAGGGGAAATGGAGTGGGTAAAATTGTATAATAGAGATCAATTGCATGTGGTGGTGGATGGAAACTAGACTTTCAGTGGTGATCCTATTAGTACATACAGAGGTTGAAATGTAAAGCTATTTACCTGAAAGTTAGGGACAAAAACAAAAATACTTAGATTATGATAACAAAATGGAGGACACTAGAAGGGATGTTAAATGGGGAAATTGGGCAAAGGGGGCCAGTTGCGTGGTGTTGGTTGGAAACTAGATCTTTGAGGATGTTCATAATGTAGCATTTGCAGAAGTTAAACTATAATGATGTATAGCTGTAACCAATATAAAGTTATAAACTAATATTGCTTCGATAAAAAATAAAACAAACAAATGAGGTTACTCAAAGTGTGGGGCATGGGCCAGCAGATTAATATCATCCAGGACTTTGTTAGAAATGCTAATTCTTAGGTCCAGCCCCGGAACTATTATATCAGACCTTTTGGAGTTGGAATCAGGAATCTGTAATTTAAAAACCCTGCAGTGTAAATTGTGAGGTTTGAGAAAATATTGGTTTAAATCATATAAATGAATGAGACCACCCAGAGAGAGTGCAGAAAGAGAAGTTGGCTAAGCATGGGAAAATACTGTTCTATGAAAGCTCTGCTTTTTATAGCCTGTTGATTACTTCTTATTTCCAGCTCTGCGAACACCCTACTCCTACCATCATCATTCCTCACTGCACTTGTATGTTTTCCACTTCCATGATAGCCCATTTAACACTCTGTTCTTCTCATACTCATGAACATATCATTTCTTCCACCTCAAACTTCAGGGAACGTTCATCCATTTACAATGAAATTGAAGTCCTTACCATGGCCCTGCAAGTATGCTCACTGTGGTAACCAACCCTCAAGACAGAGTCCTCAATGATCCTGCTAGTCCATCCGGATCACAGTCACAGAACTGGTTTGTGTGAACAGTCTAATATGGTAGAAGTGATGCCATGTGATTCTGAAGCTATAAAAATATTGTACCTTCTCTTTTGTGGGAAGTTAGGGACCATGTCTTGAGGACCCTAAACCCCCTAAGGAGTCATCTGTATGATAAGGAACTGAGATTTTCTGTCAACAGCCACACAAGTGAACTGTGTTCGATGTGAACCCTGTAGCCCCAGTTGCCTGCAGCCCCCCAACAACTTGACAAAAGCTTCCTGAAAGACTCAGTAGGAAACACCCAGTTAAACTGCTTCTGGGTAGACCTTCAGAAAATATGTGAGATCAAAAATGCTGGTGGTTATGAATGGACAAATTTGGGGATAATTTTTATACTGTTATTAGGTAACTAACACACTCATGATTTGGCCTTTGTACCACTCCAAACTCATCTCCTAGCACTTAGACTTTGTTCCCTCCATGCCAGTTGCCTGCTCCCCCAACTTAAACAGAAGCTGGTCCTATTCAAGAGTTATTCTCTGCAAGCTCCCTCAGCTTGAATAGAAGCAGATTCTATTCAAAAGTTATTCTCTGCATGAATACTTTTCCTTGGCTCCCCACACCTGATTCATTTCCTTATTGTGGTTTTAATGAATGATTGTGGTAGACATTTTTTCATGGGCTATTTTTGCCATCTGTGTATCCAGTGAAATATTTATACATCTTTTTTAATCCACCTTCTAGTTGGAGTGTTTGTCTTTTTAATATTGAGGTTTGAGAGTTCTTTATATATTCTAGATACAAATTTCTTGTTGGGTATATTACTTGCAAATATTTTCTTCTGGTATGTGATTTCTCTCTTCATTCTCTTAGAGCAAATTTTTAAAATTTTGGTGAGGTCAAATATATCAGTTTCTGTTACTATGACTAGTAGTTTTGCTGACAAGTTAAAGGCTTCTTTGCTTAGTAAGAGGCCTGTGATTTTCTATTTTTTTCTAAAAGAGATTTGATTTTTTAAATTTAAGTCTGTGATACATTTTGAGCCAGTTTTTATATCCCTCTCTTGATATCTAACTGTCTTGGCTACTGTAGCTAAATAGTGAGCCTTAACATTAGGAAAAGTTTCTTTTTTAAAAAAAATTATCTTGCATATTGGTTTTTATGCTTCCATATAAATTTTAGAATAAACTTATCTATGCCTACAGAAAACCTTGCTGGAATTTTTTATAGGAATTATAATAAACATAGATCAATTTAAGGAGAATTGACATCTTTACTATGTTGAACGTTCCAAACCATAAACACATTGTTTTTCCAGCAATTTAGGTCTTTGATTTCTTTAATCAGCATTTTGTAATTTTTTAATCATTAATATCCTATACATTTTGTTAGATTATCAGAGTAAGTATAAATGAAAGTACATTTTTAATTTCAGTTTCCACTTGTTAATTGCTATGCATGAATGCAGTTGATTTTTATGTGTTGATCTTATAGTCTTCAACTCTGCTATAGGAACGTTTTAAAATATAAATTCCTTGGGATTTTCTGTATAGACACTCATGTTATTTATAAATACAAAGTTTTGTTTCGTTTCATTCTATTTGCATTCTTTTTTTTCATGCCTGATTGCATTGACCAGTTCTTCCAGCACCAGGCTGAGTAAGAGTGATGAGAGCAGACCTCCTTGTCTTGTTTCCAATCTTAGAAAGTAAGTGAAAGACTGAAGACTGAAGTCTTTCACAATTAGGTATGATGTTAAGTGGAGGATTTTTTTCACTGCTCTTATTGAGTTCCCCTCTATTTCTTGCTTGTTGAGAGTTTTATTGTTTAAGTCACGAATGGGTGCTGAATTTTCTGAAATAGCTTTTCTGTGTTAATTGATATGATCATATAATTTTTCTTCTTTAGCCTTTTGATATAGTGCATTGCATTTTATTGAGTTTTGATTATCAAACAGGTCTTACGTATATGGAATAAATACCACTCGGTCATGGTATTTTTTATATACTGCTGTGTTTGATTTGCTAATGCTTTGTTATGAATTTTTATATCTAAATTCATGAGAGATATTGGTCTTTATTTTTTTCTTCTTTTTACTGTCTTTATCTGGCCTTATGAAAAACATCTAGCCTCATAAATAAGGGAATTATTTACTTTTCTCTATTCCCTGAAAGAATTATATTTTTAATTCGTAACTTTTCTTTTTTTTAAAAAGATTTATTTATTTATGCATACAAGAACTGGGGTGCAGGCCAGAGGCATGGGGGGTGGTGAGAGGATTCACCAGAGACAGAGTGGGGAACAGAACAGGCAGATTGACCGAAGTACACTGCTGAGGGGACCAGTGGGCAAGCCAGGAGAGGTCTGCTGTGCCATGTGGGTTGCTCCCTGGCCGGCAAGAGATTGAACTCATGCTGCAGAGGCTGCGGTTAGCGTCGTAGGTTGCATCTCAACCCCTTGCGCCTCAACCCCTTGCGCCACCAGGGAGGCCCATAAATAATTTTTCAAGAGTAACCATGTTGTTCTGGGAAAACCGTAAACATGGTAACATATCAAGGGAAGGAGATTCCATATGTAGGGGAGATGTGATTTTGATGTGTGTCTTCCTACTTCTAGTATTTTAAGAAACACTGAAGAAAGATCAGAGTTTAGCACTTGTATCAGCAGCTTATAGGACTGCTGAAATTTCAATTATTTTCTGCTTACTACCTGTCCTTTACTTCTTGCCATGCATATATTTATAATATTTCCCCATCTTTCAGGAAAGATCCAGTGCTAAGGAATATAAGGCTAGGAATTATAGATTTAAAAAAAAATGCGTTTTATGATGTTTGTTTCAAAATTAAATTGAACCAATTCTCTGTCATGTATGGTTCTATGAGTTTTGACAGACACACAGAGTCGTTTATCTGCCACAACAATCAAGATACCAAATAGCTCTATCACCTCTCAAAAATTCCTTGCATTTTCCTTGTATAATCAACCCTTCCACTCATCCTCTGACAACTTAATTTATTGGCAACCCTATAGTTTTGCCTCTTTAAGGGTGTCATAAATGAAATCAAACAGTATAAACTTTTTTGACGCGGGATTCTCTCACTTAGTAATACAACTATATCATTACTTCGATCAACAATTTTTCCTCTTCTCCCCTGCACCCCGCCCGCCCCCAGCAATTTCCTGTTGGTTTTATTTCTTCTGTCTGTGAAATTCTCTCAAAGACTTTAATCTTTTTTCAGTGTTTCTTAAAATACTAGAGATTATGAAGACAAACATCAAAGTCACATCTCCCCATGCATTTGGACTCTCCTAAACTTGAGCTTCATACTTTGACTTGTGTACAGTGGACTTCTGAGAAAAACACAGTGTAACGGAGAAATATACAAGGATGATCCCTCTTTCCCTTGATATGACTTTTGAGAGAATTTTTTGGTTATCACTCACCTTGTTGAGAGTTATGTGACCCCATTACCTGACTGAGAAGATCAAAGGTATACAGTGCCCCCCAAATCAACTATTGCTAGGTTAGCCAATGACCAATTAAGTGACCTGGTAGAGGAGCTCCACCCAACAGAGCCAGTGTGTATTGACCTCTATTTGGCCAGTCTACTCAAATCCTCTAAGACTCACTGGGAGTAAGAATAGTAGGACAGAGTCAGAAAGAGCTCCCTTGGAACAGAAAACAATGAGTTCATTCCCTGGAGGTACAAGATAAACAGATCTTTATAGGGTCTTGAAACAATGTTTTATTCTCCAAAAATCCTTGCTGAGGGTAGTTGAGTTCCCTGTACTTCCCTGTATACCTTTATTCTTTTCATTGTTCTTTAACTCTAGATGTTCATAAATTCCTTCTTTTATCATTTCCTTTCTGTTCAAAGAACTTTCTTGATTATTCTTTTTAAGTTTGATTTTCTGGTCACAGACTCTGTTAGTCTTTCTTTGTCTGAAGCTGTCTTTATTTCCCATTCTTTCTGAAGGGTAAATTCACTTGATACAGTATTCAGAGTTGGCAATTCTTTTCTTTCAGGGCATGAAAAATTTTGTGCTACTTCCTTCTAATTCCCTTGTCTTCTCATGAGAAATTTTTCATCATGCAAATTGTTTTCCTCCTACAGGTAAGGTGATATTTCATTTTCATTGCTTTAATTTTATTCCCTGTTTTCAGTTTTCCAAAATTTGATTATGGTTTGTTTTGGCATATAATTTTTTGGATTTATTCCACTGGGGTTGGCTGACTTTTTTCCATAGGCTTATGTCTATTGCCAAATTCAGGAAATTTTCAGCCACTGTTTTTTCAGGTACTTTTTTAGCCTCATTTTTTTTTCTCCTGTCTTTCTGGAACTAGTGACATGGTGAATATATGATCTCTTAATTTCATAGGTCTCTGAGGTTCTATTACTTTTTTTTTTTGGTGTGTTTTCTATCTTCATTCAGATGTGGTAGTTTCTGTTCTCTCTCTCTTTTTTTTTTTTTTGGAAAATGATACTTATTATTTCTGATTTACCTTAATGACATAATTAACTACTGAATGTTATTATCAATTGTACAAATAACTTTGATGTGTATACCTGAAGATTGTATCTACTTAGTATACAATACTAAATAAATAACACTTCACATATAATAACTCTTAGTCACAATACTGGCATGTATGAAAAAATGGTAGGGTCTTTATTGAGCACTTAAAGAAGTAGGCCTAATTTAACATGTAACAAGTTTCTGCAGTCAATTCATTCTAAACAATTTGAAACAGACATTTGAGACTCATAACAGTATTAGGAAAAGTTTTGTTATTTCATCATTTTAGTTAATCTTGCAAGTAAAAATTGATGGAAAATACAGATACATGTGAACATGCAGCCTGAGATGTGTGGGTAAGTTTGTATAATTAGTAACAAAGTAAGTGACCATCATTAAAGAAAAATAAATTTAGATTGAGAATACAGCTTTTATCCTTCTTAGAATAGTATAGTTTTTAATAAGTTTGGACATTATTATTTTCAAAATAGAATTTATTTACTTATATGTATTTTACATCATTGTTCATATTTGTACAATGTGGTTTTCTCCTCTTAAGTGTAGTTTCCCATAGAATTCCCACCACCAATTCACCTGTGCTCTTCCTTCCCATTTTGAGCCCTCTCCCTCCCACTCCCCCACAGAATGTCTCTGATTTATAGTTGCCTGCTAATTTATTTGTTTAATGTTATTATTTTCCCCCCTCATCCCTTATTTGGTTCTTCTACTTTCCTCCTATAAGTGAAACCATCTGATAATTTTCTTTTTCCTTCTGACTTATTTCACTGAGTATAAAGTTTCTGTTCTCTTAGATTCACTGATTTTTCCTCTATTTTCTCCAGTCTGCTTTTGCTTGTCTAATATTGGTTATTGAATTTTTTTTTAGTTCTAAAATTTTCATTTAATTTTTCTTTAAATACCTTGTTATTGCTAAATGAAAATTCAGATTTACCATTGGCCCCCTTGGACACTAATCTGGGAGGGAGTAAGACAGTTGCCTCATTATTTCTTGTTGGAGATGAAAGTTCGAGATTCTCTGTGGCCTTCTCTGACACTACTGGATAGGTTAGTGTTACTTCATTATAGCTGGGACAGGATCTAAGTCTCCCTGCTCAGCCTTTGCTAATGGGGGTGAAGCTGACCAGAGCTTATTTTCCTCATATTTGACTGGAGAGTTGGTTTTGTCTGAATGTTTTCTGCCTTATAAGATTGTACTTTTCTAGCTAATTATCTAGAAAGGGAAGATTTTTTTTTTTTTTTTAATAGCAAATATTTTTTATTTTTTATTTTTTTTATTTATTTATTTATTTTTTTAAATAATAAATTTTATTTTTATATTCCCCCATACAATTGCAAACGCCCCATTCTGACCCCAATCCTTCCCCTCCCGCCCCCCCCCCCAAAAGTGTCTCTGGTTCATAGTTTTTTGTTGATTTTGATTTTCACTTTCTTATATTCATTTTCCTGGTCCCTTATTTAAGTTTTCTAGATTCCTGCTATGAGTGAGACCATCCGGTATTTTTCTTTTTCTTTTTGGCTTATTTCGCTGAGCATGATCCCTTCCAGTGCCATCCATGTTGCTGCAAATTGCATGTGTTTATCTTTTTTGAATGCTGAGTAATATTCCATGGTATATATGTACCACATCTTCTTGATCCAGTCATCTATTTTTGGGCATTTGGGTTGTTTCCAAAGCTTAGCTATTGTAAACAGTGCTGCTATAAACATAGGAGTGCAGGTGCTCTTTGGAATTGATGTTTCTGTGTCCTTTGGGTAAATACCTAGGAGTGGAATTGCTGGATCATATGGAAGCCCTATGTTTAGTAGGTCCAGAAATCTCCACACAGCTCTCCATAGTGGTTGGACCAGTTTGCACTCCCACCAACAGTGCACAAGAGTTCCTTTTTCTCCACATCCTCGCCAACATTTGTTGTTGCTAGTTTTTTTAATATGTGCCATTCTCACTGGTGTGAGATGGTATCTCATGGTAGTTTTGATTTGCATTTCCCTGATTACAAGTGATGTTGAACATTTTTTCATATGTCTGTTGGCCATTTGCATTTCCTCTTCAGAGAAGTTTCTTTTTAGCTCTTCTGCCCATTTTTTGACTGGATTATTTTCTTTGTTGTTGCTGGGTCTCATCAGCTCTTTGCAGATTTTTGTGATCAGTCCTTTATCATTAGTGTTGGGTGCAAAAATGTTCTCCCAGTTGGTGAGGTTTCTCTTTGTTTTTGTTATTGTCTCTTTTGCTGTGCAGAAGCTCTTTAATTTGATGTAGTCCCAGCTGTTTATCTTTCTCTTCACTATCACTGCTTTGGGTGATGTGTCTTTAAAGATGTCTTTGATGTGCAAATCCCGTAGTGTTTCGCCTATATTTCCTTCTATGTATTTTATGGTTTCAGGTCTTATGTCTAGTTCTTTAATCCATTTTGAGTTGATTTTTGTGTATGGTGTGAGGTAGTGGTCAAGCTTCATTCTTTTGCATGTAGCGACCCAGTTTTCCCAGCACCATTTATTGAACAAACTTTCTTTGCTCCAATGCATAGTCTTTGCTCCTTTGTCAAAGATTAGTTGACCATAAATCTGTGGGTTTATTTCTGGATTTTCTATTCGATTCCATTGGTCTGTATGTCTGTTCTTGTTCCAGTACCATGCAGTTTTGATGATTATGGCTTTGTAGTATAGTTTGAAGTCTGGGAGTGTGATGCCTCCATTTCCTTCTTTTTTTTTCAGTAGAGCTTTGGCTATTCGGGGTTTTTGGTGATTCCATATAAATTTCATCAATAATTGTTCTATTTCTTTGAAGAATGCCATTGAGATTTTGATTGGAATAGCATTGAATCTGTATATTGCTTTTGGAAGGATGGCCATTTTAATAATGTTTATTCTTCCAATCCATGAGCAGGGGATGTCTTTCCATTTCTTTGTGTCTTCTTCTACTTCTTTTAACAGTGTTTTATAGTTTTCTTTGTATAGGTCCTTTACCTCTTTTGTTAGATTTATTCCCAAATATTTGATTTTTTTTGTTTCAATAATAAAAGGGGTGGTTTTTTTGATTTCTTCTTCTTCAGATTTATTGTTTGTGTATAGGAAGGCTACTGACTTTTGCGTGTTGATTTTGTATCCTGCCACTTTACTGAATTGATTGATGAGTTGAATTAGTTTTTCTGTGGAGATTTTTGGGTTCTCTATGTATATTATCATATCGTCTGCAAATAGTGATAGTTTGACTTCTTCTTTTCCTATTTGGATTCCTTGGATGTCTTTCTCTTGTCTTATTGCTCTGGCTAGGACTTCCAGTATTATATTGAAAAGCAGTGGTGAGAGTGGACATCCTTGTCTTGTTCCAGATCTTAATGGAATTGCTTTCAGCTTTTCACCATTGAGAATGATACTGGCTGTTGGCTTGTCATAGATGGCCTTTATGATGTTGAGGTATGTTCCTTGTATCCCCAGAATTTCAAGGGCTTTTATCATGAATGGGTATTGCACTTTGTCGAAAGCTTTCTCAGCATCTATTGATATTATCATATGGTTTTTATATTTCTTTTTGTTGATGTGTTGGATAACGTTGATTGATTTTCGGATGTTAAACCATCCTTGTGCCCCTGGAATGAATCCAACTTGGTCGTGGTGAATTATCTTATGGATACATTGTTGGATTCTGATAGCTAAAATTTTATTGAGGATTTTTGCATCAGTGTTCATTAGGGAGATTGGCCTATAGTTTTCCTTTTTTGTGTTGTCCTTATTCGGTTTTGGTATTAGTGTAATATTGGCTTCATAGAACGTGTTTGGTATTGTCCCTTCCTTCTCAATTTTTTGGAAGAGTTTGTGAAGGATAGGCACTAATTCGTCTCTGAATGTTTGGTAGAATTCATTTGTAAATCCATCAGGTCCTGGGCTTTTGTTTTTGGGGAGGTTTTTAATTACCATTTCAATTTCGCTGCTTGTAATTGGTCTGTTTAGGTGTTCTATTTCTTCTTTATCTAGCTTTGGGTGATTGTAGAGTTGTAGGAATTTGTCCATCTCCTCTAGATTGTTGAACTTGTTTCCATATAACTGTTCATAGTAGTTACTGATTATTCTTTTGATTTCTGCTGTGTCCGTTGTGATTTCTCCTCTTTCATTTATGATTCTGTGTATTTGTGCTTTCTCCCTTTTTTCCTTTGTGAGCCTGGCTAGGGGTTTGTCTATTTTATTTATTTTTTCAAAGAACCAGCTCTTGGTTTCATTGATCTTTTGGATTGTTTTTTTAGTTTCAATTTCATTTATTTCTGCTTTGGTTTTTATTATTTCTTTTCTTCTACTGGTTCTGGGGTTTTTTTGTTGTTCTTTTTCTAGATCTTTGAGCTTCGAGATTAGGTTGTTTCTTTGAGTTCTTTCTTGTTTTTTGATGTGAGCTTCTATTGCTATATATTTTCCTCTTATTACTGCTTTTGCTGCATCCCATACATTTAGGATATTGGTGTCCTCCTTGTCATTCAATTCAAAGAATTTTTTAATTTCTTCTTTGATCTCCTCGTTAGTCCAGTGGTCTTCCAGTAGTGTGGCTTTTAGTCTCCATGAGGTAGGATAGTTCCTTGCCTTCTTTTTATGATTTATTTCTAGTTTGATGCCTTCGTGGTCAGAAAAGATGGTTGGTATGATTTCAATCTTGGTGTATCTGTTGATGTTTGTCTTGTGCCCCAGTATGTGATCGATCCTGGAGAATGATCCGTGTGCGCTTGAGAAAAATGTGTACTCCGTTTTTTTGGGGTTTAGTGTTCTATAGATGTCTGTTAAGCCCAATTGCTCTAGGTCCTTATTTAGAGCTTTAGTTTCTTTACTTATTTTTTGTCTTGTTGATCTATCCATTGTTGATAGTGGTGTGTTGAAGTCTCCCACTACATATGTGTTTTCTCTGATGTCTGTTTTCAGAGAGGACAACAGTTGTCTGATATATTTTGGTGCTCTTTCGTTTGGTGAGTATATGTTAATGAGTGTTATTTCTTCTTGAAGTATTGTCCCCTTAATCATAATGTAGTGACCATTGGGGTCTCTTTTTATTTTTTTGAGTTTGAAGTCTGTTTTATCTGATATAAGTATAGCTGTTCCTGCTTTCTTTTTGGCCCATTTGCTTGTAGGATTGTTTCCATCCTTTGACTTTGAGCCTATTTTATCTTTTGTAGCTAAATGTGTTTCCTGGAGACAGCAAAAGGTTGGGTTTTGTTTCTTAATCCAGGCTGCAACTCTGTGTCTTTTTATTGAAGAGTTTAGTCCATTTACATTTAGAGTTAATATTGATATGTTAGCATCTGTATTTGCCATTATGTTTGTCTTTCGAAAGGGAAGATTTTTGAGATGATTTTTTTCCTGCTGCTTCTTATGGGTTTTCTGGGTTGCTGTCTTGTCTTGCATCCAGTTCAAGATATAAAGTAAAAACGAAAACAAAAACAAACAAAACCCCACACAAACCAAATGTAGGGAACTTATTGCCATCTTGTTCCTTGATCTTAAGTGCCCTGTCTGTTCTGCTTTTTTTTTTTTTTTGTCTTGACCTCCTAAAGTACTTTTGTGTTTGTTTTATATGAAATATCTAAGATTTTTATCTGTACTTAGAAGGAGAAATTGGGAGACATATATTTACTCTTAGTCCAAAACCAGATAGAACATAGATTTTTAAGATTGAAAAGCAATTCAAGAATTTTCTAATCCCACCCACTGAGAGCCAGATTAAAATTGTTCTAGAAGAGTTTTTTGAAGCTGTAAGCTTGACCATTCACCTCACCATTCTCCTGGGATTCCCTCCAAGGGAGAAGAGTTATCACACAGCAGTCTCCCAATCTCCACTCCCACAATGAGAATCACTGGGTTACAAATTCTGTTACTGATGAATGTGATTTATTTCTCAAAATAGAATGGAGAACAATCGAGTATCTTAGAGTGCTAAATCCTCATGATTTTACATGTGAGGAAACAGACTCTAAGAGGTGGCCCTCTTCTCATATAGCGGAGATGTGGTAAACCGAGCCTACACTTAGTCTAGAATGGTATGCCTCAATATTAATGTGCAGGCAGATCATCGTGGTACCTTGTTAGAAGGCAGATTCTGATTCATTAAGACTGGAGCAGGGTCTGAGATCCTCTATTCATAGCAAGTGTGGGTGGTGCTGATGCAGTTTTATCTATCGGTCGATAGATACAGATATCTTAAAGATTTATTTATTTATGCATACAAGAGCTGGGGTATAGGCCAGAGGTGCGGGGAGGGTGAGAGGATTCACCAGAGACAGAGTGGGGAGCAGAACAGGCAGAGTGACTTGAATACACTGCTGAGGGAAACAGTGGGCGAGAGATATCTGCTGTGCCATGTGGCCAGGGATCAAACTGGTGCTGCAGTGGCTGTGGATTGCTGCATAGTGCTGAGAATTAACCCCTTGTGCCACCAGGGAGGCCATGCTATTATATTTTTGAGTAGCAACATTCTGAACTACTCACCTCAATTGTCTTTCCACTGTCTTACGAACTGGATGGAGTCTTTCCCCAAAGAAACAGAGAATGTGTAAGGGTCTGACAAATAAACATGTGCCTAGTGTGTAGAAGGTGTGAATGGTAGTAGAGACACAGAGGTGGGGGTGGAAATAGCCACCCAGAGAATTCTGTGCAAGGTGTTTGCTGTCTTTAAAACGCCTCTAATTTTAGTAAAGACTATGAGAAAGCTTATCCAAAAAACCCTTAAGCTCTTTAGCTGCCAATGTAATCTGCTTGGTGTTTCAGGTTAAGGATCTTTCTCTGCCTCAGAAGGATAAATTGACCTTCATTCTCTATAATCTTACAGAGTACAGTACTCTAACAAGTAACAATTCAGGGAAAGCAAACTGCAGTGCACTAGCAAGGCATGAGAGCCACCAGCAACACATGCATCTGAGTCCAAGTCTGCCTTGCTGTTGTGTGGGAGAAAGACAGCTGTTCAGTGTTCCCAGGTTTGTGCCTTCCTCCTGGCTCTGTTACTAACTTTATATCCATCTTGAATAGATCACTTAATTTCTCTCTGACAATGTGTCAAAAGAGCTTAGTGACACTGGCATATGGGCTCTGGTCATTTAAAATCGTGTCCATAAAATTCATACATAAAATGATGTACAAATTAATGTTAGTGTGTCAATACAAATGAAATCTAGTGTCCCAGTGGATTGGGCAGGCTGTTTTATAAGAATATTCCATTGTTAGGAAACTCCTAAGTCTGTCCCAGTCTCACCCCATATTCTTCCAACTTCTTTGCATCTCAGTTGGTGCTCTAGGCTTATGATTGTGAGATTAATTAGCCTAAGAGTATTATGGAGAGAGAAATCAGGATGCAAAGCTTCTTTTTCATCTACTGTGAAGAAGGCAACCGGACAGCTTATAGCAGCAACATTCAGCTTTTGAGTATTTCTCAATTTCTGGTGAGTTTAAACAGGATATAATTGGAGGATTTTGTGGGATGGGGGTTGATCTGGATCTAAAACAAAGAAATGGAAAAGAGCATACTGGACCTTTGCGCCTGAAATGGGTGAAAACATGAAGAAAATACACCCAAATCTTCCTTATAATGCCATGAGACAGGCTAATAGGTGAAACTTGATTATTACAAGGTCACTGCAAACCGTGATTACTAAGTTCATTTAAAAAGAACCCAAAACTGACCCTCCCTTTTTGTGGCTTCACAGCAAACAGGAAAGGAGGGTTTTGGGACACTGAAGGACCAAGAGCAAACAGTTCTTTACTCTCAGGATGTGCTTGAAAACTTGGCCCAGGCACCGAGAGGCTGACGTGAGAGTATAGGCTAAGGAGAAAGCCAGAGGTGAGGGAGCATGGGAATGACCACAGTGCAGCGCGGGTGGCTTCACTTTCTCCCTCTGAGGGTAAAGTATTTGTTTGTACAATTCTGAAGCAAGGTGCTTGCTGGATTTTTGTTTTTGTTTTTTCATGACTCTGGTTTGGGTCTTCCTTGGCTCTCCCTTATTATCTCTTCCTTAGCAGGAAACTGAGGGACATTGAACTACATTAGTGCTTCTGTACCAATACCCACCCAATAGCCATCTTAATCAGTCAGCACTGGAGCTGTCTCTCTCTCCATATATTTGCTGAGAAAGAAAGAACAGATGTCTGGGGTGGTGACAGCAATATCAGGGAACCTGACTCAAGAAACTCCTGAAACTGTTTTTCCTTTGCTGGAATTTTATGTTAGTTCCTTCTTTGCAACTTTCTACAGCTAAGCTCTGTTGCCTTGGGTCTAAGGTGACAGTAGCCCTGGTTCCTGATCACACCCCGCCCCCCCCCCAAACAAAAGCAAAAGCAAAAACAAAAACGCTATGCCTTGAAATATTTTTCTACATCTACTTTTTACAGAACACTTCTTCATTTTCAAAAAGGGAAGGGGCTACTAGCATTGCTTAAAGAACAGGAAAGCCTTTTGCCTCACAAAGGAGTGGATTACCTGACACCTTTGGAGACAAATATGTGAAACTCATCATATTGTAAAGATCAAGTCAGGTACCAAATTCCAGATGATTTAGCTTCAGGGATGCCCTTAGAATTCCTAGGAAAACCTTGTCAAGATATATTCAGCCTTTGGTGATATTTGTGGCTGACAGATTTCCAAGGCAGGAAATGGTCTTTTTTGTTCTATTCCTCCCAAGGGTTTTTCTGGGGGATCAAGAGGGTAGATCTTTGACATGACAGGGTTTGTCTGGTGAGGAAGGCACTTAGAAATGAAATGAAATATTGTACATGAAATACATAATGCATGCAGTACCAATGATCCTCCCTAGTGCAAATATTGATGGACCTGAGGATCCAGGGATTAAACAGACAACTGTTATACAACTCTTTCTGATGAGAATTCTTTCACAGAATGTCTCATCTTTAAAATTAGACACAAACTGTATAATCCTAGTGGAGCAAATTCAAAATGATCTAATTGTGCAAAAGAAACTTGCAAGAAAATAACAGGGCAGGAGGGTGGGGAGAGGGGAATGTAATTGGGGGAAGATAGAATTCACGTATGATTTTTAAGTTCTTTAGGGTTTGCTGTTAGAGATGTCAAGGACTCCAAGGTATGTTTCTTAAGACATAATTTTGAAACCAGGAATGAATTAGTAGTTGGGGCATGTGGGGGATGTAAAGGATTACCCAGCAAGTGATGATGATAGTTCCCTCTCAGGTGCATGACAAGGATTCTTCAGCAGTTGGCTGAGAAAAGGGGGTGTGGGAAGTCCAGGTGAATCTGTGCCACAACCATCCTGACTCTCAGATGGTCTAGTATTTATACTATTTACACTCTTTTTTTTTTTAACATTTTGCACAAAACATTCTATGCATATTATCCCTTTTAATTTTCCATATAACCTTAAATAGAAGATATTATTTGATTCATTTTATAAATGGACTGAGGTCCAGATAGATTATGCAGGTTATTTACCATTACAGTTTGGTTTGTGGAGCAGGAATTTGAAACAATATCTATTTAATTCTTTTTTTTTCTTTTTAAGATTTATTTATTTTTTATAGAAGCACCTCGTACAGTCAGAAGCATAGGACAGTGAGAGAATTCACAAGAGCCAGAGCTCAGGAGCAGAACAGGCAGACTGACTAAGTACACTGTTGAGGGGAGCAGCAGGCACAGCAGGAGAGGTCTGCGTGCCATGTGGGACCCTCGCCCGGTGGCCGGGGATCGAACCAGTGCTGCAGAGGCTGCAGGCAGCTTTGCAGCCCAGCGCTCAACCACTGAGCCACCAGGGGAGGCCCGGCTATTTAATTCTTAAAAACATACTCTTTACAGTATAGTCCACCCCAACCGTAATTGACTTATTAGGATTACCTTAGACCCCCACATTCAGGAATGAACATAGTAGGATCCTGGTTAGAGATGCCATATAAAGTATAAGATTTCCAGTTAAATTTAAATTTCAGGTAAACAAGTGAGTTTTTAAAAAACATTTAAGTATAGACCATGAACTAATTGGGAAATACTTATGCTAAAATTACTCATTTGTCCACATCCTCGCAAACATTTGTTGTTGCTAGTTTTTTTATGTGCCATTCTCACTGGTGTAAGATGGTACCTCATTGTAGTTTTGATTTGCATTGCCCTGATTGCAAGTGATGTTGAACATTTTTTCATATGCTTGTTGGCCATTTGTATTTCCTCTTTGGAGAAGTTTCTTTTATAGCAGCACTATTTACAATACTAAGCTTTGGAAACAACCCAAATGCCCAAAAATAGATGACTGGATCAAGAAGATGTGGTACATATATACCATGGAATATTACTCAGCATTCAAAAAAGATAAACACATGCAATTTGCAGCAACATGGATGTCACTGGAAGGGATCATGCTCAGCGAAATAAGCCAGAAAGAAAAAGAAAAATACTGGATGGTCTCACTCATACCAGGAATCTAGAAAACCTAAATAAGGGACTAGGAAAAAGAATAACTATAAGAAAGTAAAAATCAAAATCAACAAAGTAAAAATCAAAATCCCCCCTGCCAGAGACACACTGGCAGGGGGGGAAAGAGTCAAAATAAGGGGTCAAAATAAGGGGGTTGCAGTTGTATGGGGAATATAAAAATAAAATTAAAAAAATAAAATAAAATTACTCATTTGTCATTTATCTGGAATTCAAATTTAACTAACTGTTCTATATATTTTTTTCATTTGCTAAGTCTAGTGATTCTCTGCCTATTCTGCTCCCTACTCTGTCTCTGGTGAATCCTCTCACCCACTGCATCTCTGGAGCCTATACCCCAGTTCTTGTATACATAAATAAATAAAAGTAAATCTTTTTTTAAAAATCTGGTGATCTTAATCTTGGTAAGTGTTCCAAATAAGAGAAAGGAAACTTTGTAGTTTCTTACTACATTGAAGGGATTGGGAAGTCAAAAAAACTTAATCCAAGAGAAATTCTCCAGTTTTCCTCTGTGGCTTTGGCAAAGCTGGGATGGGTCAGTTCCTGGTAGCACACTCTGCAAATAATGCTGCTCTTGGCTGTTCACCTGTGATTCCCATGGTCCCAGCTCCAACTTGGGAGAGATACAAACTTTGCCTGTTTACCAGGGCAGAATAGGACCCACAGCACAAGAGTTAGATTTAGTGAGTTAAAGGGCCAGCAGCACATTTTCTAAAGCCACTGAGGGCTTTGGGAGGTGAGAGCTGCTAAGGCCTTATTTCTGATTTGATGGATAAGGTCACAGGGTAAGGATTTCACAACCTAAGCTTCAAAGTTCTAGATCCGCTTCTTTATTTATTATTTATTCATTTGCCAAACATCTGCTGTGTGCCAGGTATTGTTGTAGCCTCCAAGGCCACAAAAATGAACACAAACTGAAAAAAAAAAAAAAAAAAGACCTCATGGGCATATTTCATTGGGGAATTAAGACAAGATCCATAGCATGAGCAGGCAATCCAGGATCCTGGCTGGCCTGGTTCACCATCCCTGGCACCAACTCCCAGATTAGTCAATGTGTTTCTATTGAGCAAGTTGAGAACTGGCAAGAGAGAATGAAAATAGCAACTGGGAAAATGAAAATAAGGAAAAAATATCTTGGAGGAAAGGAGGAATTTAACATGACTTTGAAAGTAAGATGGAAAAGTTGATGAAGTTATACAACGTAAGATTTGAGGGTTATATAGTGTGGTTGAAAGAAGAAAGATGGTTAGCATATATCAAAGATTGCCAGGGAGAGTTGGATTTAAGAGTATTAGCATAAATCTATGATGGATGAAATAAGGAATTCTATAAAAACAAATCTCCCAGCAGTAGGTTATGGAAGGGCTTAGTTCAAGGCCAGTTCAAGGCCAGTTGTAAGTTCTTTGGAGTGTTTAAAAATATTCCTTCCCAAAGAAGTAAAACTATCACTATTTGCAGATGATATGATAATATACATAGAGAACCCCAAAAATTCCACAGAAAAACTAATCAAACTAATCAATTAGTTTAGTAAAGTACAAGGGTACAAAATCAACACACAAAAATCAGTAGCCTGCCTACCCACAAACAATCAATCTGAAGAAGAAGAAATCAAGAAAACTATCCCTTTTGTTATTGAAACAAAAAAATCAAATACTTGGGAATAACCTAACAAAAAGAGGTAAAGGACCTATACAAAGAAAACTGTAAAACACTGTTAAAAGAAATAGAAGATGATGCAAAGAAATGGAAAGACATCCCCTTCTCATGGATTGGAAAAATTAACATTATTAAAACGGCCATCCTACCAAAAGCAATTTACAGATTCAATGCTATTCCAATAAAAATTTCAATGACATTCTTCAAAGAAATAGAACAAATATTGATGAAATTCACATGGAGCCACCAAAAACCCCAAATAGCCAAAGCTCTCCTGAAAAAAAAAAAAAAAAGAAGGGAATGGTGGTATGGTGGTATCACACTCCCAGACTTCAAACTACTACAAAGCCATAATAATCAAAACCGCATGGTATTGTAACAAGAAGAGACACATGGACCAATGGAACTGACTAGAAAATCCAGAAATAAACCCACAGATTTACTGTAAACTAATCTTTGACAAAGGAGCAAAGAATATGCAATGGAGCAAAGAAAGTTTGTTCAGTAAATGGTGCTGGGAAAACTGGTTTGCTACATGCAAAAGAATGAAGCTTGATTACTACCTCACACCATACACAAAAACCAACTCAAAATGGATTAAAGAACTAGGCATAAGGCACGAAACCATAAAATGTATAGAAGGAAATATAGGTGAAACACTACCTGACATACACCTCAGTAACATCTTTAAAGACACATCACCCAAAGCAGTGATAGTGAAGGCAAAGATAAACAGCTGGGAGTACATCAAATTAAAGAGCTTCTGTACTGCAAAAGAGACAGTAACCAAAACAAAGAGACACCCCGCCAATTGGGAGAAAATTTTTGCATATAACACTAATGATAAAGGACTGATCACAAAAATCTACAAAGAGCTGATGAGACTCAACAAAAACAAAGTAAATAATCCAGTCAAAAAATGGGCAGAAGAGCTAAAAAGAAACTTCTCCAAAGAGGAAATGCAAATGGCCAAAAGGCATATGAAAAAATGTTCAACATAACTTGCAATCAGGGCAATGCAAATCAAAACTACAATGAGATACCATCTTACACCAGTGAGAATGGCACATATTAAAAAAAACTAGCAGCAACAAATGTTGGCGAGGATGTGGAGAAAAAGGAACTCTCCTGCACTGCTGGTCGGAGTGCAAACTACGGAGAGCTGTGTGGAGATTCCTCAACCTGCTAATGATGGAGCTTCTATATAATCCAGCAATTCCACTCTTAGGTATTTACCCAAGGGACACAGAAACATTAATTCAAAAGGGTACCTGCACCTCTATGTTTATAGCAGCAATATTTTCAATAGCTGAGCTATGGAAACAACCCAAATGCCCAAAAATAGATGACTGGATCAAGAAGAAGTGGTACATATACACAATGGAATATTACTCAGCAATCAAAAAGGATAAATTCATGCAATTTGCAGCAACATGGATGGAGCTGAAAGGGATCATGCTCAGCGAAATAAGCCAGAAAGAAAAAGAAAAATACTGGATGGTCTCACTCATAGCAGGAATTTAGTAAACCTAAATAAGGGACTAGGAAAAAGGACCAATTATAATAAAGTAAAAATCAAAATCAACAAGCAACTATACACCAAAGACACACTACGGGGAGGTTGGGGGAGAAGGGAGTAGGATCAAAACAAGGGGGTGAGAATTGTATGGGGACTTTAACCAAGATGAAAATGCATTGTGCAAAAATGAAAAATGATGTAAAATTATATAAAATAAAATTTAAAAAAATATTCCTTCCCATGATAATTAGTATCAACACTTTTGATTGATAGAAATTTATCTTTGTTAATGATTTTTTTAATGTATTTGAAGAATGATGATGTGCATTTTAAAAACCCGGGAAAACCAAATTGGAAGGCGCATGATTTGGGTAGGAGAAAATGATGAAGATGTCTAAGAAATGTGTGGTTAAAAAACCTGGTGTCTGTCTGGATTTGAAATTCAGAACATATATATCACTTGATCTGTCTTCATTCATATACCAATTTGTGTGTGTGTGTGTGTTTGTGTGTGTTAGGATGTATTGACTACATTCATGGTTGTTGATATACCTGACTCAGAGCTTCCTCTATTCAGACAACTACATTTTAAACACCCAGAGCTAGGAGAAAATTATCTGGGTCACTTGAGAATTAAATAAAACAAAAAATAAGGGCTATCAAGAACAAAGGTCATGAAAGTGGGCTAATAAACAGTCAGGTTATTTTGCAGCTGGATGGAGAAATATGTAAAATGTAAAGAACATATCTGCTATAAAGACTGTAAAAATAATTTTGTCCATTTTCCTCCCTTTACAAATGGTGGAACGGTATTCATGGAGTGGAAGTAAACCCTTAGAATAAATTCACTTAGAAAGCCAGTGGTGGAAAACTGGAACAACTTATCTACCTGGATTTTGGTGTTACTTAAAACTTGTATTAGTTGTCAGGTTACATTCCACTATATTAGTGCCTCCATTTATTCATAAATTATTTTCTATAAAATTCCTTTCAGAGACTATAACCTTTCTCCTTTGGTGTCAATGTAAAATACTGAGCTTTTTATCAAGGCGTTTTTCTTCCTCTACTTACAGTGATGATCTAATAAGCAATTGTTCCCATTTCTTAAAGGGTCTCCTTTTTTCTCTCTCACTGTCTAAGGAGCCTGAAGAGAACCATCACCCACATAAGGATTATCAAAATGAGTGACATCGCTACTTTGGTGCCTCCAGCTTCAAACCAGGACCCTACCACCCCACGCAAAGTGCCCCCCAAGTTCAAACATAGGCAGACTCGCCAATTCAAGAGCAAACCACCTAAGAAAGGTGTGAAAGGGTAAGACCAAGATGCAAAATATGACTTTCTGTTGTTTTCCCTCCTACAAGACAGCTTTGGTGTTGAGAAATTAATGCTTTCAATATTAACTTGAATAAAAAGTCTCCATCCTATCCTCTGTTTTCCTTTCTAACACAGTCATTGCTGAATCATGTCATTAACCCTGGCATCTTTATTCTTTTAGCATCCAGGGATACAGCCAAATGTAACAGCAAATGGAATCTGTCACAATAACCTTCACCTTGAGCTTCCAGACTTTTCTTTAACCATTCTTGTTTGCCAACATACTCTGCTTTAATCTTTAACACATAATCGCCAGTCATTTCCAGAATACAATTTATTCTTATGACTTCAAATCTTATGTCTTTAGTTCTATGTTTTTTTCTTTCTCTCCTTGGCAAAATTCTATTTATTTTCAACAGGCATTCAAATGTCAGTTCCTTTTTTGAAGTCATTGTTGACTCTATTTGACAAACATCAACTTCCATGTTTGCATTTTGTACGTTCAACTACTATAACTTGTATTATTTTAAATGACATTTGTTAACTAACATCTGTTCCCTGAGACCAAGGTCCCTCAGAGAAAATGTATTTGTGTTTACCTTATCTCTCTGGGCCTACAACTATGCCTGGTACATAGTAGATGCTTCAGAAATACTTTTGGATAACTAAACAAATCAGTGGATTAACTACCTTAATGCCTTTTATATTGCTTTCTCATTCCAAGTTCTTTTTTAGAAAGTGGATCTTGACTAAATTACCTCAGGGATAATTCTTTCTGGCTATCAATTGTTTTAGGATAAATTTTTATAGGAGGAAGCTGGGGCCCATTGTCCAAAATCTGCCTGTGGAGCATTTTCTGCCAGTTCAGTGCAAACAAAGGGAGTTTCTAAATACAAAAACTTAAACCTCTTCTTCCCTATTGAGTGAGGAAATGCTCTGCATGAGTCATTTCAGAATCCATTTGCTCTGAACTTAGCTCATTTCTTTTTCCTTTTATCTATAGATTTGGAGATGACATTCCAGGCATGGAGGGACTAGGAACAGGTGAGCCTCCAAAGGATTAAGTAAGACTTTCTTTACTGTTGCAGTTTTACCTTTTCATGTACCTCAAGCCTCAAGGGGCAGTTGAAGGTTACAAGAAATACCTAAGGCAGAAAATACTTTGAAGACTTAAAAATATGGGGGTTTAATTTAAACTCCTGAGTAAGTGTGTGTGGCCAGACATGAAAACTAAAATAAATCAGACAAGTCTCAGAGTTGAGTGAATCCTCTTGTTTTGTTGAACAACTCTTAAGTGCATAAAATGATGGATTATAAGCTTTCATGTAGAAATATTTTCAGTTAGTCTAGCCCAACTTCTTTCTTTTTTCAGAAGAGAAATCTGATACAGAGGAATTAAGCGACAATTTGAGGCCACAGAGTGAGGTATTGGAAACAAGGGTGGGGCCTGGAGAACCTTTCCACTCTGCAAACCACTTACTTGCCAACTTCCTTTTTTTTTTGAAACATGTTCTCTGTCACCCAGAACAGGACCTGACACTCTGAATATATCCAATACATGATTTTTAATTTGTTTGAATAATTTAACCTAAGATACTGTAAATTCCTTTTAAAAATTAATAGACTTCATTTTTTTTAAGAGCAGTTTTAGGTTTATAGAAAAATGAAGCAGACAAATCAGACTGGCTATAATACTCCCTCTACCATCTATTATTTTTTAATTTTTTTTTTAGATTTTATTATTTTTTTAAAATTTTTTACACCATTGTTCATTTTTAAGCAATATCTGCTCCCCCCAACCCCCTTAAGTGTAGTCCCCATAGAGTTTCCTTTACCAATGCACCCGTGCACCATCACCTCAGTCCCCTGTGCTCCTCCCTCCCTCCCTCTGATCCCTCTCCCTCCTCCTCCCCTGCAGGATGTCTCTGGTTTATAACTGTCTGTTTTCGATTTGTTGTGTTGTGTTTTGTACTGTTACTATTTTTTTACACTGATGTCTTATTTGCTTCCCCTATATTCCTGCTATAAGTAAAACCATCTGATATTTTTCTTTTTCCTTCTGGCTTATTTCACTGAGCATAATTCCTTCTAGTTCTATCCACGTTGCTACAAATGGTGTGAGTTTATCTTTTTGATTGCTGAATAATATTCCATTGTGTATATATGCCACATCTTCTTGATCCAGTCATCTATTTTTGGGCATTTGGATTGTTTCCAGGTTTTACCTATTGTAAATAGTGCTGCAATAAACATAGGTGTTCTTTTGAATCAATGTTTTTGTGTCCTTTGGGTAGATCCCTAGTAGTGTCTACCATCTATTATTTGTCTATTATTAGCATCTTGCATTAGCGTGATGCAGTTATTATAATTGGCAAACCAGTATTGACAGTATTATTAACTAAAGTCCATGCTTTCCTTAAGATTCATTCTTTGTGTTGCCGAGTTCTGTGGGTTTCGACTAATGTTATACACTATTAAAGTTTCATGTTTCATATAGAATGGTTTCATTTCCTAAAATGCCTTGTACTCCACCTGTTCATCTCTCCCTCCCACTAACTTGTTTTTTACTAACTCTGTAGTTTTACCTTTTCCACATTGGCATATAGTTGGAATCATACAATATGTAATTTCTTCAGACTGGCTTCTTGCACTTAACATTGCATATTCATTTAAGGTTCGTCCCTGTCTTTTCATGGCTTGATAGCTTGCTTCTTTTTGTCACTGAATAATAGATATCTCATTGTATGATTGTATCACAGTTCATTTTATTTTGGGATGCTTTGGTTGTTTCCAAGTTTGGGCAATAATGAATAAAACTTGTGCAGGTTTTGTGTGGACATAAGTTTTCAACTCATTCTGTGTATTTTGATAACTGGTGGCATGCACAGTTTTCCATGTTCTTACCAGGGAATTCATTTTGCTCTCAAATGCCACTCCTGGGATATCAAACTGATTTTTTTATGTTTAGCAACTTTATAAAGCCAATTTGCTGTTTTTTTAGATCAACTGATTTATAGTTTGGACAGGTATACAAAAGCCTAGAAAATTCTCTTTGGACTTTGGAAGATATGCTTGACTCTGCTAGCATATATGGAATAGTGGAATAAGGTTTATACTGAGGGAAAGTCTGAGGTCTTTGACCTGGCTTAGACCCATGTCTAAGCCATGACAAGTGATTTTTTTTTTCACAAGTGTTTAATCTCTCTGGGCTATGGCCAACTTCTCTGTAACTCAGGTTCAATAATATCATACTGCCTGAAGCAAGTAACTGGATTAAATGAAACCTTAGGGTCACTTCTCAGTGTGATTGGAGGTAGCATTCAAAATGTAAATGTGTTAGAGAAGTCCAGTGAATACATCTAGATCTCTAGGGGGTAAGAAGACTGGATTTGCAGACCAGGGCATTTAGTGATCTTTTTCTCATTTTATCCCTTGGCCTGGCTACAGTTCCACTTCTGTTCCTTCCTTAGTAATTGCACTTTGGGGACACTCCTTGAAATCTGTGAGCTGCCCCCAAACAGGGTTACCTCAGTCAAAATCTTTAGGTCTGAGCTTCCCTGGTGGCACAAGAGGTTAAGCGTCAGCACTATGAAGCAACAATCCACAGAGTTGGATCCCCAGCCAGGGAGGTGACCCACATGATGCAGCAGACCTCTCCTGCCTCCACCCGCTGCTCCCTTAGCAGTGTATTTCAGTCAGTCTGCATGTTCTGCTCCCCACCCTGTCTCTGGTGAATCCTCTCACCCTCCCCATACCTCTGGCCTATACCCCAGCTTTTGTATGCATAAATAAATAAATCTTTAAAAAATAAAAAACAGTATAAAACTTTAGGTCTCTTCCCAAAAGAGGATGCAGAATAAAGTTGACAGGATGCCTTTGGGTGGGGGTGGGGCAGGCCTGTTCTCTGGATGTCAGAACCCTGAGATCTGATCCGTCCAAGCCTGCAGGGCCTTTCTACAAAACTTTTCACAGTGAGTAGGAGAGAGGGGGCAGGTCTTCTGCTTGAAGAATGTCTTTTGGAACTGAAGAGATTCTCCTGGGGGTGAGACTTATAAATTCTTCCCTCTCTTGCAGATATCACGGTGATTTGTCCTTGGGAGGCCTTCAGTCACCTGGAATTGCATGAGCTCGCCCAGTTTGGGATCATCTGAGGTGCCAGAGATTCTGCCACTCTCAACAGCATCTTCTGTAACTTTAGTTACTGAACTGCCAGTCTTAACATTCAGCTGTTCAGAAGTAGTTTCTTTGGCTTACAAAGTGATATCCCTTAAGTTACTGAGATTCCTCTTGATGTCAGTCTCTTGTAGTAATAGAAAATATAGGATGAAAACTGACTTCTGTCAAGCTTATCCTATCAACTGGTTAGAAGCCATCAGAACTTCTCTAAATTTGTTTATTTAAGTCCTTCAAATCTATTTTTGCTAGGCATTCATTATGATCAATAGTAGACTTTTAAGATAACATTTATGTCACTCTCCCCCCTTCTTACTTAATAAAGGAGCTATTTATCTTGACTCTTAAGATGAAGTTGTATTAAATGCTACATGCAAATACCCATATGCAAGGACCCGTTAAACAAAGAAGACAGAGTCTTACCATGCTAAAGAGGCTGTTAGGAGACAAGACCTGATTCTTATTTGTATCTTTGTAAACCCTGAACCTTCTGGGTCTGAATTTTATTGAATTAGATCATTCCTGAGGTCCCAAGGCACTATAAGTTGTGAAAGCCTAGAGATTTAAACCCAGGATTCTGACCTCATGAGCCTTCTTTTTTGTTTTTTTATTTTTATTTTTTATTGCCTTGATTCAGTTGATCAAAAAGATTTACATAGGTTAAAGTACAGTTACTCAAATACCAAGGATGGGGAGTTGACCCTCTCCACATAAAATGATGGTTTGCTTCATCCCTGAGGCAGTGTCAAATGCAGTGTGCCCATAGCACTCTTACCCCAATGCTTTGAAAGCAATTGTGCAACTTGAATGCTGCTGCTGTCTGACAGGCTCTTTGGTACTAGCAGTGTTCATTTCTTCATTTCAATTTTGTAAACTGTGGTAACAATGGAGTAAAGTAACTGTAAAGAGAGGCAGGATCACAGGAGAATAAAGATTTGGGTTCTAATCCTGCCTATTCCAGTGAATTGTTTCATGATTTTGGGCAAAGATTTTAAGCTGTGGATCCTCCAGTTAGCCTAAATGAGATAATCTAAGGTTGTGGTAGTAATAAATTCTGTGGCTTTGAGGTTAGCAGTCTGTGCATGAGAATTAGAGGAGTTCAGCACTTAAGAAAGCCCCTTTTCCTGTGCAAATGACTCATTTTACTTCTGGCCAGAAAACTTGAAGCACAAGGAACACATCTAGATCTATAGAGGGAATGAGACTGGCTTTCTAGGCCATGGACAAATTTAAAATACTCCTATTTCTCATTTTAACCCTTGGTCTGATTAGAATTCCACTTCTGTTTTCTCCTTAGTGGGGAAAAAAAGTACAAAAAAAAAAAAGTAAGGTGTATATTTAAAAGTGGAACTGATACCGGAATTGTCAGGCCTAGTCTCCCAGCCAGGAACAGATCCCAGGCTGCAGGGGCAGCGCTGAGTCCCAGCCACTAGACCCCCACGGGTTGGTGTCTCACGAAGCCGCAGCAGGAACTTCGCAGACACTCAGGCAAGCAAGGGAGAAGAGGCAGGTTTGTTTAGAGAAAGAAAAAGTTTATTGAGGAGAAAAGGAACAGAAATAAAGTGGGACTCCCAGGCCAGGAAACCAGGCCTGGGAGGGGCAAGGAAGCCAAAGTGGAGTCGTGTCTCAGGGAATATATACCTTCTTTCCCTCATTATTCTAAAGCTCCACCAGTCTCTTTGTGATTGGTTAGTTCTCGGCTGTCTCACTTAATTTGCTACTGAGTGGGGGATCTTCACACTCCTTATCTAACAGCTTTCTCTTTCCCCATTTGTTACTTCCTTATCTTTATGGCCCGGTCCTCGGATGAGCATCTCTGCATTGAAGTTAAACAGCTGCCCTTCTAAGTTGTCCTTAAATTAAACCATTCTCCATTTCCCCAATCTCTACCTCCCTTTATCACCTGAAGGAAACCAAGGCCAGCGTTAACAATGTTGTCCTTGGTCCTAGGATGTTTGTTTTTCCAGGTGGAATTAGTTACACTCCTCTTGCTGCCCTTATCTCTGAAGCCTTCCTCAATTCTCCGAGGTCCCTTCCTGCAGTGTCCCTAAAACTGCCTAATTCCTAGCTTGCCCTGTGTCTCAGAACCATGACATGTAAGGAGTATAGTGTTAAGTGTGCTTCCCTCTCTACCAGGAGCTCCTGCCTCCGGCCTGCAGCTCCTGGTGACAGCCAGAACCTTCAGTCTGCCTGTGTTCATTCTGGTGAGTCTTTCAGTTAGGGAGGTCTGGGTTCTTCTCCAGCTGGGTGACACTCTGGTCCACATAACTTATTTTGCAAATGCTTCTTTATTTTATTTTTTTTTTAAATTTTTTTTTTAATAGAGGCATGTTTTATTTATTTATTTATTTGTTTGTTTGTTTTTTATTTATACAAGCACTGGGTACAGTCAGAAGCGCGGGAGGGTGAGAGAATTCACCAGAGCCAGAGCAGGGAGCAGAGCAGGCAGAAGGACCGAAATACACTGCTGAGGGGAGCAGCGGGCGGCAGGAGAGGTCTGCGCGCCATGTGGGACCCTCCTCCGGTGGCCGGGGAGCAGCAGGGGATCGAACCGGTGCCGCATAGACCGCGGGCAGCTTCGCAACCCAGCGCTCAACCGCTGCGCCACCGGGGAGGCCCCTGCAAAGGCTTCTTTAAACATAGAGCAATAATATTGACAAAACACATTCATCCAAAGGAATATATCCAATTACCAGGATAGAGAAAGGATCTAGAAACCATACTATATGAAATACTCTTGAAGAAACTGATTATATTTATCCTGGAGGAGAAAATGATAATTGCCAGCAAATATTAGAGATGTTGGAATGAACAGGATGAAGCAGAGCTTTTTCAGGTAGCATTTAGTGGTAAGTTGGACTAGATCTAATTTAAAGCCCAATCAAACTCTAGAATTCTATTCTTTCTATTGCTGAACTCTAATTCTTTCATTTTTATTATTTCTATTAAGAAAAAGAACACCCTTAAAATATAAACAGCACATATGAAAGAGATAAAGGTAAACCATTGTTCCTGTCAAAGTTTTGGCAACAGATATACCAATACTCAAAGTAATTGAGGAAGATTTCACAAAAGATCTGTTTACAAAGACTGGGGAAGGGTTAGGGAGAATCTACAAAGGCAGTACAGTAACTTGGGACTAGCAACAGTGTCTGGGCTACATGACCAACCCTAGACCTGAAGGAACCCCAAAAGATCAACTCTAAGGACCCCTTGGGAGGGCAATAACCTTGTAGAGGGACAGAACCAGCCCATGTGATCCTGTGGGTATCAGTGGAGGCTAGGGGTGAAGCTTGAAAATACCCATCTTTGTTCTTTTCCATTTTCTACTCCTCTTGATATTTCCCATTGGAGAAACACACTGGAAGTCAGAGGGAAAAGACACTTATTGATGTGGTCAGTAAACTTACTTCCAACAATCAAAATCACCTCCAGCAGCAGTGATGAGGTGGGGAGAAGTGAAGAGTGGATGTGAAGAAGCAAATGGGAAATATCCAGCATAATAATGATACCAATGAACAAACACTGTTGATCAGCCAGTGATTTTTAGTTAAGAATTAGGAGATAGCGTGGAAGAATACAGTAGACAAGAGAACAATTACAGAAGGAAATTATAGAATTCGAGTTTGGAAGAATTTTTGAAATCTGACACTTTCCTGCTAATAAGAGCTGTTGAGGATCTCGTATGAAAAACACAAAAATTGGGCTGTACCCTATATTTTCTGAATAAAAATCTCCAAGGGCGAGCTCTTAGAATTTACATTTTTAATAAGGGCCCAATGTGATTCTTTTCTTTGTGCCAGTTTGAAAGCACTGATGTGTTCCAAGCTCTACATTTTATCCATCTATTTAAAAAATCATTCATTCTTTGTTACTATCAGTTTATTATCACATTAAAAATAACAAAGTATATATATTAAATCACCTGAAGAATGACCACATTTCCTTAAGATGCAATGAAGTAAATGTGTGCTTCTAAACAATTAAGCTTAGCTGCAGAGCAAAAATTAGAATATATAAGTTGTGAAGCCAACTCAGGTTTTATTAAAAATTGTAAAGAAATACAGATTGTAAAATCATTTGGCACAGCTAATGCCAAAAATAATTGCTCTGGGATGGTGGATCCAAGCCTCAGAATTAGTCCTTATCACTTAATGAAATTACACATTTTTCCTTCAAAAATATACATGAAGTTCTGCTTACATTTTTAACATATTATAAAGCAGATTAGATGTCCTGGACATCCCAAAGTCTCATTTTAAATACAAGGAGTTAGCTAATTCTTAATTTTACCACCCAGTGACAGACTTAACCAGTCAGTCCCGCTTGCCCTCATGTAGTATGTGTGAGAACTGGGACTAACATTCACATGTTGTGACTTACAGACTGCCATTGATTAAATAGACACACAACTTCATTACTCTAGACCTGGGCCAGTTAAATGCTTCTTCAGTTGCAAAGTAGATCAGAGAGTTCAAAGTGTTATTACTGGACTGAAGCAATTCCAAGAGGTAAAGAGCCCAAAGGCACTGTTGTTTCCTGGGGTGCTCTCATGACCCACTACCCCAGCCTATGTCCCTGCCTGTTTTCATCTGTCTCCTCCCACTAAAGTAAGAGGGAGAGAGTTTTGTCTCAGGAGGAGAACGCATAGATCTTTACTTATCCGCCACCCCTTTCCAGGTCATATCATTGGGTAGTAGTTGGGTATGGTGATATAGGTATTAAGCCCTAGTCTAGAGTTCCAAAATATTACAGTAGAGGAAGAAAACAGTACACAAGGAGAAAATGCTCCTCTGGAGTGCCCCACATTGGGGAACTACACATAGCTGTTTAAACAACCACAATTTTTGTGCAATTGACTTTTTTTTTCAACAATGAGAAAAGTAAGAATCACCTTAAACTGAAGAAAGGAGGGAGAGTATTCTCAGCAACTTAAGAAGGGAAAACACACATAGATAAGAATAATCTACAAGATCAATATTTAGTACAAGAAAAATTACCACAACACTGAATAACAGAAGAACCAATATTATGAGAATAAGCAAATATAACTCTGAATTAAAGAGAAATAGAGAAAGATATGTCTCATGAAAGGCTAGAAGGTAAGACACAGGTTATAGAAATTGCATTTATGTATAAAGTAGTGTGATCCTTTTTATAACAACTCTAAATGAGTTTTTGGACTTTTTTTTCTCACTTCTTGAAGGTCAGAGTGAGACAGATGAAATTTAACAGCGAGAGTCATGTCTGTTTGTCCAGACCAGTCACACTGTCTCCATGTGACAACACAGTCAGGAGATCTGGGTCCTGCCTGACCCTGCTGCACAGATAATCAACTCATTCACTCATATTTGGGTTCAGTGTTTGATAATAAAGCAAGGATATTGCACTAAATGATCACCAACTGCTAAGTATAAAGTCCAAGTAATAAATCTTAACATATTTCAAACATGAACATACCTTTCCCTTTTATGGTCAGTAGCTTCAGTTTCCAGCTGTTTTCTGGAGCATTTAACAACTTTTCTTTGGCATTTCTCCTGGACCCAATAATCAAATCACATCTTGTGTAGTACTGCCATCTGCTGTAGTAAGTGAGATGTAGCCATTTCTGTCAGGAGACTTTTTAATTTGAGTTTGTTCCCACTCATTGACTGATGTAAACTGCTGTGCTGCTTGGCAACTTATGTACAAGATGGACATTAAAAATATGTAAGAGGGAACCCAATACAAGGTAAGTCTCTTTTCCACCCAGTATCCTGTGGCTTAAGCCAATTATCCACCAATCCAGTTTACTATGAATACTTCTGGAGATGTGTGCATATGTATTATTTTCTTTTCTCTGTGATAACATAGTATACACTATTCTACATCCTGTATACTTTCTCCCTTATTTTATCTTGGGGATTACTCCATGTCTGCACATTTTTATCTCACAGTTTCCTTTCATATGATTGAAGTTTAATTCTTTTGTCCAGTCTCATACTGATGGCTATTTGGATATTTTCAGACTTTTACATCTTTCTTCAAATGTCTGCTTATGTATGACACATTTGCACAGATTAAACTCAGTGTTAATTCCTGATAACAGGATAGACAGGTCTTGAAGGAAGTATATTGTCAAATTATCTACCAAAGTTTTGTTATCATTAACACCAGATATACAAACAATGTATATTTTCCCCAACACGCTCATCTATGCAGAATACTATTAAATTTTTGCTTTGCCTGAGACTGGACAAATTTTCCTGAGTTTAAAAGTCACTTTTATGTCTGAATTGTCTACTTGTGTGCTCCGCCAGATTTCTGATAAGATACAGTTTAATGTCTGCCTCTCTCTCAAAGGATTAACACCTATAATCAGTGGATTTACATAAAAGAGATGATCTTCACTAATTTATCCAATCGGTTGTCAGGCCTCAAGAGCCAAACTGAGCTTTTTATGAAGTTTAGTCTGGACTGCACCGTGAGCTACTGCATGACAGTTTTCCACCTCCTCCTTCAGGACCCTGTCCTAAAGATTTCAGATTTGTATAGCCAGTCCCCATAAATCTGTACTTGATTTCTAGCAGTATATTTCTTAGTATGTTTGTTTTCTTCTTATTCTCTTTCTCTGGTGAAATGCTGATCAATAGTAGAAATGAAGCTGTCAAGAGGCTTGGTTGATGAAACACTTGCCAGAGAGCCCAGAAGTAGCTGGAGATTAGGAAGTGGGCAGCAGATTGGATTTCCCACAATGGTAGTAAATGTCCCAGCTAGAAAATATGCCTTCATAATTATTATTTTGAAAACTCCTTAAGACAGGCTGCTGTGACTTGTGATATAACCCACCTGCTTTTGGAGAGGTTTAATGAAGTGCTTGAAAGTAAAGGGGCAGGTAAGCATGGCTTCTGGGAGTTATTTGTGGCCTTATTGAACATTTCCCCCAAATATTTATTAGTTCCTCACACTTTTATTATTTATAGTGGCAAGACAAGTAGAATTAAAAAAACAAAAACATCTGCACCCTCCCCCCAAAAAACAAAAACAAAACCAAAAACAATCAACACACACACACACACACACACACACACACACACACACACACACACACGAGAAAAAAACAGATTCTTTTTAGACCTGGACTTAGACTGCCATCTTGTGGATGTTTGGCTTCATCGTCTACTGCTGAACTGATAATTAAAGCGTACAAATCCATCATTAAGAAATGTTAAAAATTGGGGCTTCCCCGGTGGCGCAGCGGTTGAACACTGGGTTGGAAGCTGCCAGAAGCCTCTGCAGCGCTGGTTTGCTCCCCAGCCTCCGGAGGAGGGTCCCAAATGGCGGGCAGACCTCTCCTGCCGCCCGCCCGCTGCTCCCCGCAGCAGTGTACCTCGGTCCTTCTGCCTGCTCTGCTCCCGGCTCTGGCTCTGGTGAATTTTCTCACCCTCCCGCGCTTCTGACTGTACCCAGTGCTTGCATAAATAAATAAATAAATAAATCTTTAAAAAATGTTAAAATTGGAAAGACTTCAGATTATTTACCGTGTATTTTCATTTTTCAGAAGAAAAAAACTTGAAGCCCAGAGGATGAAATGCTTGATCACTCATAATATTTTCATCTGGCCAGTTTTATGGGCCATTTTGCTACATCATCTGTGTGCTCTTTCCAAGCCCAGTAGTGGAGTAAGACAGGGTAAGTCCCAGGTTGCACAGATATGAGATTTGCACAGAAGCAACAGCAGATCCACATGCACCTTTTGGAGCCTACACTCCCCCAAGAGTCCCAACAAAAGGAAAGGAAAATGGCATGGAAATTGTGATCCTCGCTTTCATGTACCATCTTGGTGCGGGTATGGTACCTAGTTATGCCATCGAACATCCTTATTCTTTCCTAGATACAGGATGAGATTCAGATACAGGAGCAGGTGAGGGATGGTTCTAAACAAATTGTTTTATTTCAAAATCAGTGTTTTAAAACTAATCTAAAATACATGTTTGATAAAACCAAAGTGCTTACTACAAATGGTAATAAGTGCCCATTATATCTGTCCTCCATTTCAGAGAGGCAACTTTTCCTGTTTCTGCTTTTCATCTTTTCATACTTACCAGTATAACTTTAAATAACAGGTTCATACCTTTATTTAGTTGAGCAGTATTTTTAGATTCTTTTCTATCTATGATATTAACTTATACATGAGTTTCTTTCCCTATCCATCCTCATTCCCTACATTCTATACTTATATTTAGATTGCCTATTATCTCTGTATTTCAGTAATAGAGATGTTTTCTCTTCCATCAACTTTAGTCATTACCTTGAATTTTTGCTTATTTAAGGGTAAGAGTTTTAGTGCCCTTACCCCTGCCTCTAACTCTCCTTCCTCTTCCCCCATTCTGTCAGATACAACCTGTCTTTTATATCCTTGGATTCTTAGCATTAACATTCTGTTCACTGACTCTACATGAACCTTCTGTATTTTTCCTATCAATTAATTCTAAAAGCAGAACTATTCAATAATAGTTACATAATTACCACTTATAATTTTTGTCAAAGCAGAGCCTACTATTTGAAAGCTTAGAAAATATCTTGTCTATCATTTGATGTCTACCTTTCCTGACTGCTCAGCAAAACATCTTTCCAGCATCAAGTTCAAAGGAATATCTAACCTTTTATGTCATCAATTACTTACAGTCTTATAAAACTTTTATTTTGTATCCTAGTTTATTATTTTCTGTTTATTATTTTCTGTATTATTTTATTATGTTCTATTTTCCCAGTTGTCTGCTTTTCTTCTTTGTGGCAAAAGAAAGATATCCCCTTGTCGTACCCTTAGCTTATCCAGCTTCGCAGTTAATTTTGTCTGTCATACCAAGCCTCCAACTGCTTGGGGGAGGCTAATCCTTCCAGAGCCTCTGTCTCACTGGGCTGCTCTGGATGGGATGTTTTCCTAGCTTGTAGCAAAGCCATGTCATAGAACACTATTTCCTAGATCATGTTTATGTTTTCCTTTCTGAAAATGTTTGTGATTATCTTTCTTCATTGACACTCAAAATTAACAGGAATGCTTCTCAGCTATTAGAAAACTCTTTTCTGGACTTCCCCTGGTGGTGCAGCGGTTGAGTGCCGCTTGGTTCGATCCCAGGCCACTGGTGAGGGTCCCACAAAAAAAAAAAAAAAAAAAAAAAAAGAAAACTCTTTTCTGCTGGAAACTTATTGACTTTCTCAGTTTGGGGGATATTTTCCCCTACTGTTTCCTTGATAATGTTTTCTTTTCTGCTTCTTTTCTTTTTCTTTGGGATTCTAAGTAAAAATATAATTTTTCCATTTCTCTTATACTTTCTCTCATATTTCTTTTTTCTTTTTTGTTTTAAAGATTCACTTACATACGCACACAAGAACTGGGGCACAGAGGTGTGGGGGGCGGGGGGGGGCAAGAGGATTCACCAGAGACAGAGCCGAGAGCAGAACAGGCAGAACACTGAAGAGGGGAGCAGCGGAGGAGAGGACAGGAGAGGTCTGCTGCGCCATATGGGTAGGGATCAAACTTGTGCTTCAGAGGCTGCTGATAGCCTCACAGTGCTGTGCTTAAACCCTTGCACCACCAGGGAGGCCCTTATTTTCACTCATATTTCTTTTTTTTTCTCCCTCTTTCATATTTCTATTCACCATTTTGCTTATATTTTGCTACTTCTTTCATTTGGTCTGTTATTTTTACTGATTGTTTTATGCTATCTTATTTTTTAAATTCTGCTATTCCCTACTTGATCTTTTTTTCTTCATGTCTTGTTTATGGATGTAAAATCTTTTTGAACAGTTTTTTTTTAACTTCTCTTCCTTTTTTTTTCTTTATGTGGCTGCATATTCCCACATGTCTGGTCTTTTTAGTTTGTCTCTTCATAGTTAAGAAGATGGAGATCTGGTATAGACATCTCCTTGCTTTATTGATTTCCAGACAGGTTGCTTCACTGAGTGGATATTCTGGGGGTTGTGTTTACACAGGGGTAGCATGTGCACTAGCAAGCTTAGGTTTACAGTGAAAAGAAGTGGAGGTGGCTGTAAGGTGGGGTTTCCCCAAAAGTCAGAGTGAGGAGACTTTATTGTGGGTGCCAGCATTCTGCTAGAAGCCTTTCCTCTTCCAGATGGCTTGCAAATGTCAGCAATGAGGAGGCTGGAGAAAGGGGAATTAAAATGGTACACCGTTCTCTATTTATATTCTCAATAATTCATCTATTTCCATGCTCCAGATCAACCGCTTTCCCTGACTTCAAGACCCCTCTGAGATCTTAGTTGGCTGATTGTGGCATCTTTCCTCTTGCAGCCCTCTCTTGGAATATTCCAGACTATGATCTCCTTTTCTAGGTGTATACTCCCTATACTTTCTGTTGTGGTTTTTGGAGTCAATGGGTTTGGAGTGCAGGGTCTCCTTGGGTTCACTCTGGGAAAGTTTTGACCAGAGCTCCCATTTCAGCTACACACGGCGAGTTTCCCAGGCGAGTTTCTCCATGAGACAGAGATGTTAGTTATATTTAAAGGGCAGGTTTATTAGGGAAGGGATAAAACAGTGAAAGACACTTGCAGAGACACAAGCGGGCAGAAAGAGCTGCCCCAGAAGGGACAGGTTTGCTAAGAGAGGCCTGCGTGGTTGCAGGCGGGCGGCCTTGACAGGTCTCGGGCAGGCAGGAAGGAGAGGGTTGGTGAAAAGAGGCACCCGCATAGTCACAGGTGGGCAGATGGAGTGCTGCCCCGAGCCAGTGCAGAGACTGAACTGATACAGTCTTCTTCTGTTTGGGAGGGGGTCACTGCTTGTGAGTCTTCAGCTGGTTGCTAATTTTGGATAACTATGTAGAATTTGAAAGGGACTGGAGATTCTACAATGGGCTCAATCTCCATATCTTTACTTTTGAATGAGCCCTCTTGCTTGGATATTGCGCTTTGTAATGCCTAAGGATGCTAGTCTGTGCCTAAGGATACTCATTTCAGCAACTGTGTCTTCTGTGCCTAAGGATCTTGGTTTCCATAGCTGTGTCAGTGGCTATGCTAATCTCTTCTAACCCCACCTCATGTGTGAACCATATTTCTGGTCTTGTGGCATACCTCCTTTTCAGTTTTTTTTTTCTATTCTTGTCCTCCATCACTTTCCACTAGTATACTCCCATCTTTCCCTGTCTTCTTGAAATTATTAAAATCTCTCTGGTTCTTGCCACCTATCCCTATGATTTTCTTGTTTTTCTGAACTATTTCAGTGTATTCAAGCAGGTATAGAATATAAATGCATATATCCATCTCAGCATTTTGAACAACTTGATAAATTCCTTTTGATGTTGCTGTTAAATGTTGTTTTTCATTACTGCTGGTGTGACTTTCTGGTTCTCAAAAAAATACTCTTCCTTTGTTTTATAATGTTAGTTCCATGACATGGAAATTATTTTTTTATCTATTTTTGTAGATAGGGACATACAAATGAAGTTGGAGATAGTTTCTGTTCCTTCCAATGAATAGATCAAAAACTAGCTGAGGAACTCCATGTGCTCTGGACCATGATATGCACTTTGTTACAGAGAAAATATAGCATGTAGTTTCTGCCTTCTGGGAGTTCAAATGATAGTGACAGGGAGAAAATTATTCAAGAAAATGGGAATATAGGAATTGATAGAAGAGATTATATAGTTAAATCCTAAATTCTTAAAAGTGGGCTAATAGTTTTTTGAGCTCTTTTTAGCAGTGAGAACCTTAAGGACTGGCGACTGTATGACTGGATCCCTAGAGGAGGTAGAGCCTCAGCTGGTAGGATGTAGGACCATGGACAGAGAGAAGTGAGCATACTGGAATGGCCAAGGTGCCATTCCACCTTGACCCCCGAGACCCATGAAGACCCATGTTATGATCAAATGAGTGAGACAAAAATCCCATCTTTAGTTGATAAGCATTAGCTGAGCCTTTCAGAGTTTGAGGAATTATATCAGACACTGGGTGGGCCAGACAGGGAAAAAGATACATGAAAGCAGTCTGATGGAGTTTTGTAGAGTTGTGGGGTCCTTGGGTTCACTCTGGGAAAGGTTTCACCAGAGCTCCCATTTCAGCAACACATGGTGAGTTCCCCAGGCAAGTTTCTCCACGAGGCAGAGACAATAGTTATATTTAAAGAGCAGCTTTATTAGGGAAAGGGAAAGGGACAGGTTTGCTAAAAGAGGCCTGCATGGTTGCAGGTGGGCTGCCATGACAGGTCACAGGCAGGCAGGAAGCTGCCGCCCTGCAGAGGGAGAGAGTTGGTGAGAAGAGTCACCTGCATAGTCACAGGTGGGCTGTGGGAGTGCTGCCCCGAGCCTGTGCGGAGACTGCACTGATATTGTCCTTTTCTCTTTGGGAGGGGTCACTCCTCCGTGGAGTGGCTGCTTGTTGCAGATGTTGGGTAACAGGCAAAACTAGAAAGGGTCCAGAGATTCCAGGGTGGGCCCAATCTCCATATCTTTCCTCTCAGGCCTGTGCTCTACTCCCGATAGTCTGAACCTGCTTGGGTCTCATGCCTTGTGATAAGGCACTGGTGCCTGAGGGTCATGACCTCCATAGCTGGGTTAATGGTCATGTTATTCCCCTCAACCCCCACCTCCTTGTGTGAGTCAGGTTTTAAGTCTTGTGAGGCCTCCTTTCCAGTTTTTCTATTGTCCTCCATCAAGTCTGTATTCCATATCAGTTTA